TAATATAATATAATATAATATAATATAATATAATATAATATAATATAATATAATTAATAATCATTATTAATTAATATATTATATTAAATGATAGAAATATAAAAAATATCTATATTCATCAATCTTCAGATTGAGTATTTATTAATTTTAACTTTTCAGATTGTGTTTTCTCTCTTAAAGTTTATTTATTCTTAAAGTTTTCTTTCAATTGTTTGAAAGTATTTATGTAATCTTATCTTTTAATATTTTCTGAACCTTATTTTTGATATACAGCACAAGATGTATTAATGTTAAAATTTTAGACTTCTTTTGGATGTGCCTTAGGTTAATGGCAATTGTATTAAAAATAATTTTTTGTTATACTAGAAAAAAACAAATCGCTTGAGGGTGAGGATGACATCTATTTTTTTTTAGTTGATTAAGATTCATTATTTTAATTATATCCATAATTGTTAGGGAATTATTGGAAATTCGCTTAAGGTATTTTTTGAACAAAGCACAGTTGTTGATTTTAATTCATGCTCAATTAATATTTATATAAATGAAAATTTATTTAACAAAAGTTCTTTTTATAGCTAATATTTCCTAATTTAGAATATTAATTTTTTATTGGAAGTTCTACAAAAAAAAATATATATCTTTTAAACATATTCAATTTATGTTCAATAATATAATAATATCTTGAATAGTCAAGATATAAAAGAATAGATTATTATGGTTACATATCCAATTTTATATGATATAAATAGTTCTATAATCCTTTGTCATATCAACAATAAAGAATTATTTCAAATGGCACAAACAGATATTTATAAATCTGTTTATTATTGAATAATATCATTCATTTTATCTTAAATGAAATAGCCCTATTGAAATATCGTATCTTTCTACTTTTAGTGCATCTATATCTTTATGATTCTGTAAATGGATTGGCATATGGAAAACCATTTCTAGAGATTGTTTTTGTAAATCTATTAATTTGAAACTTGAAAGCTCTTTAAATTTAAGATAAATTTTATTAATTAAAACTATTGTTAATCTGAAAGGATTAGAGACCAATTCACTATAAAAGTTCACCTTACTCATTTCAGTTAATCCATAGTGGATAGTCTATTGTAAATATTACATGTTAAAATTATAAATATATATCAATTATAATGAATTCTATAATTATCAATATATTTTTAATTTGAATTCATTAAATATAAATGGGCAATTATTGTAAAGAGATTTGTAATGAGCCTGAGATTTAAGTTGTAAGATTAAATGATTTTGAATGCACGCCCTAATCAGTGCGTTCTAGAAGGAGCCAAAATTAGAAAGGCTACTTCACAGAATGTAAAGAACCAGTCCTTCATTTATATAATAATACTTAGAAAGAAAAACGTCCTCCTTATCGTTACTCCACAGAAGGAGTATATGAAGGAGAATGGGTAGGAAACTAAAGAGAAGGATTTGGAATTATGACTTGGCCAGGTAATACATGATATTTGACCTATTTGCAAGATGGAGCTAAATATGAAGGTGAGTGGAAGGATAATAGAGCTAATGGTAATGGTAAATTTTGGCATATAGATGGTGATACTTGTAGGTTTATTTTGTTTTTATTAGATGAAGGAGAATGGAAGGATGATTAGACACATGGCTATGGCATATATGTACATGTTAATGGAGCTAAGTATGAAGGATATTGGAAGAATGACTTATAAGATGGATATGGTATTGAAACATGGGCAGATGGTAGCAAATATCAGGGATCTTATGTATTGGGCAAAAAGTAAGGTTAAGGGAAATATTATTGGCCAGATGGCAGTTATTATTAAGGAGATTGGAAGGAGAACAATATAAATGGTCATGGTACATATTACTGGTAAGATGGACGTTAGGTAATTTAATTATGTATAAAATAGTATATTGGTGAATGGTAAGATAATTGTATGCATGGTAAAGGATGTTATAAATGGAAGGATGGTAGATCATATTACGGAGAATTTGTTTAAGATAAAAGACATGGATTTGGAGTTTATGAATGGGAAGATGGAAGGAAATATGAAGGATTATGGAAAAATGGGAAACAGAATGGTGAAGGAAACTATTATGAATCAAATAGTAAAATGAAGAGAGGATTATGGGAGGATGGGAAAAGGATAAAATGGTTAGATGAGTGATATAATGTTGAATTATCTCAAATCAAAGAACTTAATTATTCTGATGCTTCTTTTAAATGATTGAAAATTAATTATCTACAATCTTCAATTCCATGTTCACTAAATTAAGCCATATCTTCCTTTATGTATAATACAAACTCATTTTCAGTTGAATCTGTCAACTTTTCTGCAACATATATTAACCATTATTCATCAGATGTATAATTTTTATCTCTAAAATTTATTAATTATTTAATTTTAGTATTGTATTCAATTTTTGCCTTTTTCTATTAATCCATCATAATGACATCGAATTTAGATTACAATTAATCATCCCTTATTGTAAAATAGGAATAATTTAAGAAATACTCAGCTCTCATTTCTTATAATTCCTATTTAATATAGTTTTAAGTAAAGAATTGATCAAAATTCTCAATTGTTAGTATACGCAATGCTTCATCAACTTTCTTTTATAAGGAATCTAATTCATAAACCCCTATACTTCTTAAACATTTAGAACAAGCTGAAACAATTCTTGAAACATCTTTATCTTCCTCCTTAAGTGGCATCCTATAAATAGCTGGTTAATTGTGCAAAGGACATTTTTATTAATAAATAGATTTTCTGTCTTGAATAACATCTAAATCATTAACCAAAAGAGGTGAGATAGGTTGAGTGAATGTAGCTTAATTTAAAAGTGAAAGTGAACTATTGATAACACTTTATTTGTATTGTCTTATTTAATCAAGTATCCAAGTAAGAGATTTCCTTTGATTTGGTTCTTTATTAATAATTCCCATAAGAATATTAACAACAATTTACTTTTTTTGTGGCAAACGACTACCTGAATATTCATGTTTTCTTGGATAATAGGGTTCATTTCTAATTTTAATAAAGACTTCATCTTCTGTTAGTCCATCATAGAAAGGAGTACCATGTATTAATTCATCAAACATTAATCCCAAAGCCCATATATCTACAGATTTATCATATCCATATAATTCTGTTCTTCCATCAATAATTTCAGGAGCAACATAATAAGCAGTTCCAAATTTTGAAGTTAATTTCATATCCCCTATACTGCTTAATCCAAAATCAGAGATCTTATAATAGATCTAACCATTAAATGTAGTTCTTAAAATATTTTCTGGTTTAATATCTCTATGTACAATATTGATTTTATGTAAATAATCTAGACCTTGGGCAACTTATTCTAAAATTTCAATGCAATGTTCCTCACCCATAAATTAAGGTTTCTTTTTCATAAAATCATATAAAGTGCCATTATTACAGAATTCTTAAACTACATATACTTGATTGCCTTAATCATAGACATCAATTATCCTTACAATTGCAGGATGCGAATGTTTAACTAATTCATTAAGTATTTCAATTTCACTAATAGTTAATTAATTGTTTTTAGGTAAAATCTACAATAGCTTAATTTTTGTACTTTGACAGCCACTTACTCTTAAGTGGTTTTCTTTTTGGCCAAATAAACTTAACCAAATACTCCTTAACCTAATTATTAATTAGAAAACTCATAAAATAAATCAAATCTCTTCATATATTTGATAAATTTTAATTTTAATATATAGATCAATTTTTGGTTAAGTTCAAATAGAAATTAACAAAAGCCTTATCATCAAAGACTTTTGACAAAAATGCTTATTACTGAGCATCCTAAAGTATTTCTACTTCTGTCATAAATGTACAACTCTTTTTGGTGGACAAAGTCACTTCTTTTGAAGATTTGATCACTATACGCAACTATATAATATAAATAATAGAATTTTTACATCTTCTGGTTTACTCCAAAATGCAAAAATAGGCAATTGAAATATGATTTATGGTTAAACATTAGAGTTTAGTTAGACTCCACTTTAAATACTTTATTAACTACAAAGGACTTAAGATGGTTCAACTTTTTCATCTTTTAAGAATCTACATTAATTACCAAAAGATACGCTTCAGCTGCATTCTAACTATTAGGAAGACTCTTATTATAATTGTTCTTGGTGATTAGATGACGAACACATAGCATCTTCTTTACTAAGTCAATCAAATATTGTTTCTTATGACTCAATACTTGACGCTTCTTTGCTCGAATTTACTAATCTTCTTTAATTTTTTGCCATTTTTCTTTGTTATGGCACCCTATTAAGAATATTTAGTACTTCCCACTCTTAAAGGTCTCTTATGTTGCAACCAAGAACTTCTTCTTCTTTATTATTACTTCAGCAGCAATCAAGACATTGAGTGCATCATAGACTCGACGCTTCACATTCTATTCCTCATTCTTTTGTTCACTGTCTTCAGATACTAATTTATCGGCTACAAACCTATAAGTTGTCATTGACTCTGATTCAATTATTTTTTTCACCTTATAACTCAGATTTCTCAATCCCTTATTCTTAGAACCATGTAATGAAAAGCTTTTCTTCTTCACTCCTGTAAATGAGCATTAAGAGTAAACTGGCTTTGGATGCAGGACTCCATTAGGATTGAAACTAAATCGTGAGACATCTGGAAATTGACTAGCCTCTCCGTCGTAATCCATTTAATCAATATTATATTAATATTATACATTCCCAATTTACCAAATTGTTAATCAATGTGTATAAACATAGTAATAAGATTTCATTCATCCAACATTGTTGATTTTAATAGTTGGGGCATTTTGAATGGAGATTCTCCTTTTCTATTTCTAAAAAAAGGATAAAGATTATGTTTCAACCATTTCTAGTCCACTATTTATTTGATTTGGAGTATTTCCTTAATTATTAGGAGTGTTTGTATTATTATTCCAAAAACTAAAAAACTTCCTCTTTCCTCTATTAAACAATTATTGCTTAATTCTCTAATCCATATTATTGAAACTCACTGAAGCTTCCTCTATTGGTTAATAAAATGATTTAAATTCTTTAGGTAATTCTGTATGTTTCTATTCAATCTATTATTATTGTTTCTCCAAAGCCTTTATTCGAAATTAATAAAAACTCCTATTCTATTCCTCATATTATTATTATCTCTTAAGTATCTTATTGATCTTGGTTTCCTACTATTGTATCAGATTTTCTTAGATTGAATTTATAAAACTGACATACTCTTAAGGCATTTACACTTTCTTCAATTTTGTTTACTTTTATAATTGCTTTATCTTATTGGCCAGAGATCTTGTCTTATCCTATACAAACTTTGTTTACAATGCATCCTCATCCAATCTGATTTTTAAATGACTTATTATTTGAGACTCTACAGATGAACCAGGATTCAAAGATAACTTTCTAAAATATGGAGGTTGAGATTCATCTGTCTTTTTGAGATTGGAAATTAAATCATCTATTTTAGATGTAATAATAATCCTATTTCTCATTTTGATTAATTATATTTTATTTTTTTTTAATATTTCATCATATCATAAAATTATAATAATAAAGGATATATTATTAATAAAGTTGTATAGTCAACTACAAAATGTAAGATCTTAAATGATGATTATTTACCATCTACCTAAAATTATATAGGCATTGATTATACTAAGATAAAACATTTGAAATAAATTAAAAATTAATATATAATTTCTATATTACTAAGTGAAAGTAAATTAGATTATATTTTTAATAAGATATTCTTTATAATTATAGATATACTTATGGTTAACTTTTATTCAAAGTTTTTAAGTTTTTGTGAGAGGATTAATATCTTCTCCATTAAATTTATAAGAGTACTAAGACTTCTATTGATTCTTTATCATTTCTTCATAGTCTAAAATATAATGATCAAAATGTCTTACTGAAGATATTAATATAATTATCTATATATTTAAGATTCTTATTTTAAGATAAATCATTTTACTTATTTTAAGATAATTTAAATATATATTTTAAAAGGCTAAATTTAATATAAATAATGAATTATTCAGATTCTATTAAATATATATTGGATAATCTAAACTAAACTAAAATAATCTATATTATCTCCTAGAACTTAATTGTACTTTTTAAAAATATGATTAGAAATAATTACTTAGATATTTCTATGATCTATTTAATTTAATTCAATTAAAATATTTAATCCTATATATATATTTTTTCTAATCATTAGAAGAGTTTTAACCAGATCTTTAATTAGAGTGGTGAAACAATTGATTTTTTCATTATGAAATTGAATCATTCGGTAATAAAAATTATGATGGTTATATTTCAACTAAATAAGACAGTTCAAATCAATTTTTCATCATATTTTTATTATGAATCACCCATTTATTATTTAATATTTTAATTAATATCATCATTAGATTGATTGTTTACATTATTACAAACTTTAAGCACATTACTAACAAAAGAGTTCTAGCATATCTAAATCTATAGAATTTATCTTGGCTTCACTGTTTGAAGAAATGTTACCAATACCTTTGACATTAATTACTTATATGGCTCCAATTATTTAATGATTTTAGGTTTTTAACGGCATACAAATAATAGGCATATTTGTTTCTATATCAATATTAGGATTAAATATTGGACTAGTGTAACAATTGCTCACTGCCACCAATTATTGATCCTTTATGCACAGTCCCATGATACCCAATAAAGTATCAATTTAACTTAATTTGCCATCTCTATTGATGTGAGATAGAACTTAATTATAATAAACAACTTTGGCTTAATCTACATTCATTAATGATCGTAATCTTTCTTCTGCTGATAGAATTAAATCAATAAGATTATCTTACTTGCTTTAAAGAATGATTCCTGTTTTAATAATATGTCTTAGTTTATTTTAAATTAGCATCTAAGCATCATGATTCATAGCATTTTTTAAGACACTTTTACTGAATTCTCCCATAATTTATAATAATGCTTCATCATCTTTAGTAAAATATCCATTTGATTTATTGACACATTATAAAACTCCCATACATTTATCTCCATCTAAAATGGGTGATATTAATAATGTTTTTGTTTTATAATTATTTTTTACATCTTATTAGGTATTGAATCTTTAATCTCTATATGCATCTTCAATATTCAAAATTATTCTATTTTAAGCAACAAATCCTGCAAGTCCTTATCCAATTTATAATCTTATAGTTGTTTGTGTACCTTTAGCAACTCTAGTCCATAATTCCTTTTTTGCTTAATCAACTATAAAACAAGATGCTCTATCACATTCTAAACAATCAATACATTTATCAATAATTGTTTATAATGCATCATCTAATAGAACAGATGAATTCATTTATAAAGCACCTGTAACTATTTTTTTGAGTCTTAAGACTAAGATAAATAATTATTAATGATCTGACATTATTCTTTTGAATTTATCATATAAGAATGATAATTTTTATGCTGAAATTGATTAGATTATGTCACAAAAGTTTTCTTCAGATTCTAAAAGCACTTTCATTAATGAGACTGTACCATCTATATTATATTAAGTAGTAGCATCTTCATCAGCTAAAGTATATTTATTTATATATACATAATTAAATATTCAAAATTGCATTGGTTCTAAAACAATCTTCTTATTATAAAATATCATAAAAATTAGATGCTCCAGATGTATTCCTATCATTTTTAAATGTATCTCCATCATCTTGATGAAACCTTACTAAAGTTGGATTTCGAAACGTTTATCTCCTAAATAATTTTACTGATTAAGTATTTCCTTCTTCTGTTATTTTATTACTCTTTTTTTCTAATGGTAATAATGATTTATGAGTTTTAAATTTTTGGTTTGTCTTACCTCCTTAATTCAATTATCTTTCATCTCTTAATATACTTAATTTTGTCTAATTTGCTTGCATAAGGTATTCATTAATGTGAGTTAACCGATCAATCTCTTTTTATTACAACTTAACAAAATCTTATAATTTCCTTATTTAATCTTCCTTATTCTCTATGGTTATAAATAATTTATCAATCTCTTTTTATTACATCTTATAATTATCAGTCAATTTCTTAACAATATCTTCTTATGTATCCATATCTTTGTTCTTAGGAGATGCAATTTAAGTACTACGTTCAGTTTTTATTTTAAATTTCTTTCCATTCTCAAAAGCATTCAACTCCTATTATTTGTTCATTATATATATATATATATATTTATATATATCAATATATTCTTAATTTAATCATTGGCATTTTTTATGCAAAATTATCGATATTACACTGAAAATAGTCTCAAATCCAAATACAATTAAATAACAAATTGTTTCATATTCATTTGTCTTTATAAGATAAATCTCAAGTATAAGAAATCCATGTATTACTATTAAAACAATCATTTAAATCATTTTGTATCCTATCTACTCTTGTAATCTCAACAAAACACCTGCAAGTAAAGACATTGGAATGAAGATGTAAAAGTTTAAATCAAAATTCCATAGCAACAAAATTAATCCTTATTCAAATCCAATACGTTCAACATAATATACTAATTGAATCATCGTATCTGTTTTATCTTACTAAATACTTTATTCTCCAATTAACGATTATAAAGGATCTCTTTGACTTTCTGGATTTTCAATTTGAGATTTTATTTTCGTTGAATGTATTTACAATATTGTACTATTAGGCGATTCTACCTTATCCTTCTAGATTTTCTATTCCTTATTCATAGCATCAAAGAATTAAACACTTGAATTACTTGCCATAGCTAAACCTGGATGATCCTCTTTCATTTAAGCCTTTAAAATACTATGTCTAACATATTAATCACTTTTCCTAATCTTAGAACTTAATATGATTGAAGACTTTATTTCTATATCCTTTTATGTATGCAATTCTGATTGCTTTACTTATTGTGGTCTACATTATTAAACGTATATACTCTTGAAAAACCTAACTATTAATCTAATTCCTTCTTCTAATAATACAGAGAAAGAAAACTTGAAGCAACAAAAGTAAACCAGAATAAGATAGTTGTGCTATTTAGTAATACATTATAGATTATATGTATAATTAATAATTTTTATCATTAATTGATTATTCGAACGTAAATTGCTGGACAAATATTATAAACAGTTAACTTTTTTCAACAATCTTAATAAGACTATAGAATGTGTTTTTCTTAACTTATTTAATATTTTAACTTATAATTAAATGATTAATTAAGGATATAAATCAATTTAATATTAAATGTTAGATCATTTACATTTCATAATATAGATATGAAAATAGTCTATTAATGCAATTTATATGTTCAATAACATACTTAAAGACAACCTTAATAGAATATAATCCATTTAACTTTTAAATATATAAGAAAAGATAAAAAAACTGTTTAAAATAATAAAATTCTCTAAAATTTATTAAGAATTTAGAATTATAATTAGATAGCCAATATTTCTATTTTATATAATCTATTCAAAATTGGTGACATAAGTAAAGATGAATTATATGTAATAGAATTAAGGAAGAATTCATAAATAAAAAATGTTATTGGATCAGCTTTATTATGAAATTCAAAATTAAATTTTGACTTATCAATATTATTAATAAACCCCCTTTTCCATTCCTATAGTTAATCTTTATTATTAAATTTATTCATTAAATTCTATAAAAAAATAGTTACTGAATAACAAATATCTTAAGATAATATTGTTTAAAAATTTCATAAACATTAATAATTAGGATTAATTTTATACTTCTTATTAGAATGATTCATATTTCCCATTATCTATTTGGTTAATTCAAAATATTCTAGTTCTCTCTCTTCACTTAAGAAAAGTGAAATAGAATTAATAAATAAATAATAAGTATTTGATAGGTGACATATATTCTCAATTTACTATTCTATGTATTCTTCATTTTCATCAAATGAATACTTATTGTTAATAGAAACAGTGTTTAGTGATTAAAATATAGAGTATCTGGTACATTGTCATTATTTAATTATATTTAATTATATAACTAATATGAAAAAGCATTATAGTGAAAATTTATAGGAGTATTGTGTTTTCTATAAAGATAAAGAACTTCCTGCTTTACATAAGACAGATAAATTTATGAAGGCTATGATTTTGGATTCAATCAAGGATTAAGAACATCCTCTTAATCAATTAATTGAAAAAAAATAAATTTTTGTGCCATTTATTAATGAAAGAGATAGTATGGGAAGATTGATTTCAAGTGAATAGTATCATAGAAAAAGAAAAAGTGATGCTTCAAGTCTCTTTAATTCTCCTAAGAATAGTAATGTTTATTTAAGTAAGAACTCCATTTCGAATACTTGTAGTATTTATGAAAATTAACTACCTGCTGCAAAATTAAAACTTAAAAATCTTTTAGGAAGCACTCCTGAAAATACTGAATTATTTTAATCCACTTTATTAGGAAGTCAATTCGAATTTAAATAATCATTCTAGTTTAATTCAAAACGTAATCAGCTTAATTTTAGAACACATAAAAAAAATAATAGTTTATAAAATAAGTTACCACAATTTATTAATTACTAAAAAAATAAAGAATTTAAATTATTTAAATAACCAAATACACCATAAGCCACTAGATTTTATTAAAGTAACTTTATCATTGAAATGTTTAATCAAAACAAGTATTAAAAGTTGTTATTTAAATTAGAATTGCTGAAAATAAAATATAATATATATTGCTGATTGAACAAATATAAAAGTTATAATCTGAATTATTACAAAATTTATCAGCAAATGAGAGAAGAAGAACATTTGTTAAATTGGATGGAAATAGAAGAATCAAATTAAGTTTATTATTACTTCTATCCAGACCACACATTCAATATCAGATGTTATAATGATTTGTATATAATTTATATTTGATAATAGAAGATAACTTTAAAACTCTGAATAAACACATATATTAATACCTAAGTTATTATATATATCTAAAATTATACATATAATAATTAATACTATACTTCAATTCAATAATTACACTTTCCTCCCATAGTTTTTCTATTTAATTGATAATTTAGCTACTCTATTAGTTTATTCTAATAAATTACATTAATAATATATATAAATATGTAAATTAATATTATCTTTTTTATAATTTCTCCAATATATTTCTTAAAAGGCAAGAATTTTATAAGAAGTATTTAGGAAACAAGGTTGTTGTAATTGTGTATATAAAAATAATAATTACAAATTTGCAATCTTATAACAATATTAAAAATTTAAATTAAATGTTTTTCAAGTAAGAAATTGTATATAGTTAGCTTTGCTCGTTTTTTCACTTAGCAATAACAATTAGATAGTTTGTTAGCTAATCCTGATTGTGATTTAGAAACGATTTTATCAACTGAAGGTATATTGCAAGAAATAAAAGGATTAGGAGCTACAAAATTTGCTGATCAGTATTAATTTAAGCATATTAATTAGTGTCATAAAGCATCCTGAAATGTATTAAAAAATGATTGATTACATAATATAATTTGAAGATGAACTTATTGATAAGAAAACTCAAATTTAGTAATTTATTAATTATACTTTTAGATTCCCCTTTCTTACAAGTGAAATTTTAGGTAGTTAAAATTAGAAATTAATTGATTATCTATTTGAATGTCCTGAAGAGGAAATTTAATTTGAAAATTAATAAATACGCTAAGGATTATACAACTAACTGTTGTCTTTCTTGGAGAATGATATTCTAAATGTTACTTCAGCAGGATATTTTGCAAAAGCATTCATAGCAATAATTAAAAAGAGAGGTTTTGATGTATGATATTTTTAAATAATTAGGTTTGGGAAACAATTATTAACAACAAAACAATTCTTTCAAATTTAATAAAACATATAGATATAAAGCATATAGCAGAAATAATTGAAAAATTAATAATTTTAGATACATCATAAGAAAATTATGAAGAGAAATTCTTTGAAGAAAGAAAATAATTATTAGAAAGAATAATTAAATTATTATAATATAAATCTTATAATACAGAAATAGTTGATAATGTTTGTGATATATTAATTGAAATTACAACTAAGAGTATGAGTTCTCTATATTATAATAATGGAGAAATAATTCCTTTTATTGATATAATCAAGAAACCTGAATTATTTTTTAAAATTGCATTGTAAACATAACGTATAGGACCTTATCAATTATTAATTAATTTAGTAGAGATGCAATCAAAAGAAACTAAAAAAGAAGATGATGATGAAGTTGTTCATAATTTAGAAAAAGATTATTCAATTTTTGAATCAATCTTATCTGAATTACCTTAAAATCTCTTAAATTAAGATTATCATACAAGTAATTTTATTAATTCTAATCGAATTTCCATTCAACCTTTTGGATTAGCAAGAATGAATTTGCTAAAATTAATTTAAGTTCTTGTTCAGTAATTTAATTATTAATATATTTATAAGAACCAATGATTATAAAATTATCAAGATTTTAATAGACTCAAGACTTATTCAAGCATTATAGATTATTATTATTAAGTATGAATCAAATAATCAAATCCATGCATGTTGTGATAAAATACTAAGGGCAATTATCGATCTTAATTAAGATGATTTCACTCTAGATGTAAAGTATTTTTAATTCTTTCAATAGGTTTTTGAAAATAATAATCTTTTAAATTATATTGTTTAAAATCATAATACTGAAAATACAAAAAAAGGATTTATTGGATTTATGACATAAATATCTAATTATTTAGAAGAAAAAAGTAAATAAAATAATAAAATTTAAAAATTACTTAGAATGAGTATTAATTTATTATTAATAATAGATGAATAATGGTAATCATTTACAGAAAATATCTTAAATAATGTTAATTCAATAGAGAAACCTTATTTATGTAATGCCAATCCAAGACCAAGTTAAGAACCTGATGTTCTTGATGAATAAGAAACTGACAATATCTTGAACATTCTAAGAGTATTTATTATTAATTAATAATATTTTTAGAAATTTAATAATAATTTTTAGAAGAATGATAAAAATATAGGAAATAATGAAAATGGAGAGGAAGTCTAAAGAAATACAGAAGTGTTGAATGAATTTGAATAAGATTAATAGGAGGATAATGCTTAAGAAGAGGAAATTTAAGAAGAATAAGATCAATAAAATGATGATGATTAGAATGATGATTAAGTTAGATAGGAATATAATTAGAATAATTTCTGGAAATTAGATGTTAATGATAAATAAGCTTAAGAATTGTTGGATAATTTTGAATGATAAATTATCATTAATGTAATTTTGAATTTAAATCATAATGCTAAATTAATAATATTCATTAGTTTTATATTTTTTATGATCTATTAAGTATCTCAGTTGGTTTTGTAGTATACAATTTATCAATATCAAATTATAGATCTGCTGTACCAATTTTATCAAAATAAGAAATCAACCTATATTATATATATAAATTATATTACTCTTTATTTTTCTAATCATTTCTATTCCAATTGATAAATTGAATGGCTCCCATATAGATTTTTCTAAATGATTTAGAAAATAACGTAAAATCTGGATTATCCTCTTCCTCTAAAATAGTTTTTAATGATTTGAATTCTTAGTTATCTGATCTTTTAGGATTTCTTAAGAATACACATTCATCTTCCTATAATAAATACAAATTTAATACTCTAAATTACAAAATAATTTAGTTTAATATTTTTGTTATGTACTCTTTTAATAATTTAGTCATTTCTGATTTATAGTTTTATGTGAAATCTGCTAATTCTCCTTAAGAAAATCTTTTTTTAAATTCAGGAAGAATAGAAGATTATTAATTTATTAATAATCCAAGTGCATTCATTATTGTTCTATATCTATATCCAGAGAGACAAACCAAAAGGGCAGCCATTTAATCATTATCAAATTTAATTGAGTTTTTTTGAAATCTAAGAATTAAATATAAATTAATACTTTGAATCCTATAATAATTTATAAGTTTTGGCTGCTAAATCACTTTTTGTAATCAAAATTTTTATTAAATGTAGAATTTTATCAGATTTACTAGCTCCAGAAATTTAATCTACTCTATAAAATTCCTAATAATAACTTAAATTCTAAGTTGTTAATGTATTCTTTCTTGGATTAGACCTTTTTGGTTAAGTTATATTCAATGAAAAAATAGGTGATGAAAATAATTACATCCAAGATAATCTATCTGATTCTTCATATTTTAACATTGATTCTATTAAGATTTAAATATCTTCTGGAACATTTTCTTTTACAGCAGAAATAGCTGGACATTTAATTGGATTACTTTATAAATTTCTTAAATTTTCTACTAATTCAGCTTAACTAGATGCCTTAATAGGTAAATCAAAATAAATTAATTAATAGAATATTACACCTAATGAATAAACATCTGCTTTTGATGAAAATTTAGGTTCTAAAAATAATTATGGAGCAGCATATGCAGGAGTACCAACTTTAGTAATCAAATGCATATTAACCATATCATCTAATATTCTACCCATACCTAAATCTGCAATCTTATAAATATCATTAGATATTAGTATATTTGCTGGTTTAAGGTCTCTATGAATAATTTTCATTTTAAATAAGGCTTCATATCCTTTAACTACTTGTTTGATTATTTCAACTCCCTCATTTACTGTAAACCAAGTTTATTACTTCTATTTTTAATCCATTAAACCTTTAAGATCTCCTTGATTACATTTCTCCATTATTATATATAAATTTTGATCTTTAGTTTCTTCAATTATATCAACTAATTCAACAAGATTTTCATTCTCTTTTTAAAGTGGTTTAAGTAAATTTAAGATATCGATTTCTCTTTTCAATAAGGTAGGATCAACTCCTTTTTTATCTACACATTTAGCACAAAGGAGTAATTCTTTATTTCTTTAATCATAACATTAATAAACTATTCCATACTATCCTCTACCAATTAATTTCTTCTTTTCAACAACATAATTCCCAATTTAGATATCAGTGATAGGTTTTATTGGTATTCCAGTATCATTCTAAACTTTTGATCTTGGTTTCATTTTTTAAAATAATTAATTATTCTATTTAAACTTTAGTATATTTATGAACATCAAAAAAACCATTATTAATTTAAATTAGATTATTATATATATATCATTTAACTTATTTTTAAATAATCATGTATATTAATACAATTACTATATCAAATATGAAATAATATCATTAGTAGATTATAACTGACGAATATACTTAATACTCTTGGTATTATATTTTGAAATCAAATGTTCATAATTTGGCCTTGGAGTCATATTTGTTACTTTGTCTTTGTAATCCACATCAATATATTGTTGAGGCCTTTGTATATCAAGATTAATGATATCATCTACTATTTTTTTTATGGATTATAATGTTTCATCATATTTCTCTTTCTAGAACATATAAGGAAATAATAATTGTTCAGTCTAAAACACATCCACCTATTTATATACGGATTGAAGTTTCTCTAATAAAGATAGATTCTGAAAATATAAATCATCGTTTTTATGACTCAATGATTTATTGAATCTTTTCAATTCTCTATAAAATAGATAATATAATACTCATATTATTAATAAAGATTATCATTTCTTATTTTATATTAAATTGTTTGATTCTATTATTCTAATAAAACAATTGCCTACTTCAAACCTGCTATTTCATCTTGTTATTCTTATTATTCTTATTTCCTTTTCTTTATTTTTCATTATCTAAAAATACCTCTTTTAATGCTTAGTAATTCCACTCTATTTACTTTCTCTTACTAATTTATAACTATAATTCCTAAATAAGTAATTCACACATCTCCTTTGATGCCTATTCCTCTTGAGGAGCCACAATTAAATTATCTAAAATTATTTACTTTTATTACATAGTTTAGGATTTATTATATAATCCCCTAATTTTTAACAAAGTGACTTCAATTCTAAAGAATCACAGTAAAGAAAAAATTTAAGTTTCTTTAACAATTCGTCTAATTTACCCTTCTTCATTATTAATTCATAACCCAATAATCCATTCAAACCACTAAATAATTAATCTAGTTGTTATTTTGAATTCTTATTTTCAATATCTTAAGTACTGCATTCAACCACTTTATATACCAAATCCTATTGAGATGCTCTCCTTTATAATTATCTACTTGATTATAAATTAGGAATAGATCTTTGATCTTTGCTAGAACTTCTTTTTTAAGATGATCTTGGACCTGGTTGACATAATTTTTGTAATTTTTCCCAATTTTATTGCAGTTTAGCATTACTCATACAATAAATTAATTTGTTATTAATTTATTCTTAAAATTATTATTTACTTAAATACTAATACATATTGATATAAAACTAAATATTTTACTTATCTAGATAATATATTCAATAATGTTTATTTAATTAATCCAAATAAAAAGAAGGTTTTATTTTAGACAATTATTTACATCTCTATATATTATTTAAATAAATATAATATTCTATATATGCCAATTGAAATAAAAGTAAGAACAAAACAAAAATTAAGATAAATTATTGCAGCTTAAAAAAAAATAAGAAAATCAACCAATTAATAATAAGAAAAAGGATAACAAAAATTGTCAATCCCAATTGTTAAAAAAAAAGAAATTGAGTAAGTTAATAATAAATCTCATTCTGTTAAATTTAGTATCTAATTTATATTTAGAATATAGATAAATTATTTTATCCAAATGAACCAAATTAGTTATTTCCTCATTAACTATAAGAGAATATCATAAAAATTATAAAATCTTTTGGAATATCTACAAATATAAAGCATATAATTAATAATTTATGTTTATTTTACTAAAATCCTATTGATGAAAAGATTTTTGAAAATTATCTTGCTTATGCTGAAGAAAATGGAATTATCTATGAAAGATAAGGATAATATTTTGTATCTTAAGAATTAATACCATAGGTAATATTAGATTAAGTTTTCTAGTTAGAATAAAAAAATATTATATTATTTCAAAATTAAGAATTATAAGAAATAAATTTAAATGTTTAAGCTGAAATAGAAAAAAAACAGATTATAAATTGAATTTATTTTGATAAATATATAGATATCTTTAATTTTAATATTATTCCTTGTCAATTATCAAATTTGGATATAAAATTATATAAAAATAATTTTACCCCATTTAATATACAAATTATAGTATTATTTATAAAAATGCTTAATAATGATGACTTTTATTATGCTAGTGAAATACATGAAGATAATTCATCAACATAATCCGCTTATAGTTGTTGTATTGCCTTTTTGTGTATGCTATGTGGTTATGTGTTATTGTAAACAAATTATTACATAGAAGGGTAAATTGATAATTTGAACTAGTAAGTCAAATCCATATTATTATTAATGTACGATGACTTTGCCATTAACTTACTTTTGTGGAGTGGCATTTTTAATAGCTGCAGCTGTGAGATTTGTATTTTTAATCGTTTTTTGTTTACAATCAGAAAAATAATAACCACATTCTAGTCTATTTCATAAAAAAGTAAAGCATTCTGAAATAATGATTGCTATGGCGTAAATATTATAATTTAATTAATTAGATTTTTCTTTTTTGGTTCTTTCATTCTAATGGTAAAAGAGTAATGTTATGAATTGACTGTTGCTCTACTTTTTGTATTAATTTTAACAGCTTTCATGATTCTACAAATATGTTGTTATGATATTGATGATGATGAAGTGATATGTGAAGAAATACTTGATTATTGAAAGACATTATTATAAAACAAATAATGAAATAAGAAAGTATTCAATCTCCTTAATTGTGTGATAATTTTCCACCAAGACCACCAAATCCTAGGAGATCAGCAATCTTTAAATAATAGAATGCTATCAGTCTAACTAAATTAGATACAAGACTCTAAGAAAAGAATGACATGCTTGTTGCATAAATTTAAAAGATTGTTAAACATATGCCTTCTGATGATAAATAACTCAAAGCAGAAAGACATATATATGATGCATATTACTTGAGAACTATTCGAAATGATATTGATTTAGCAGATAAAGTAATATTAAAATACCTTTGGATTATTGAGAATAGCAGAATTTGGAGTGGATTTCTTTTAACATTAACTATTTTTTATTAGATTCTCACTTTCTTTGAAAAACCTTATCCTGAATCTGATTTTTATGAAGCACCTGATATAAGTAATATAGAATTTTTTATATTAATATTCCTTGGGATAGACTTCATAATAACTTTAGTTTTGTTGGCTACTAAAAAAAATGATGGAGGATTTCAATTTAACACAAAAAGAATGATGAAAATGTTGTTCTTTTTAGTGTGTATAACAGATTTTATAAATTCAAGGATTGATTAAACTCAAATCAGATTCAGTAGATTAATTAGACCAGCATTGATGATATTTTTTTCAAAGGATCTTAGACGAAATCTTAAGGGTATAGCTAAAGCCAGCAAAGATTTATTATTGTTATTTTTACTTTATGTAATTATCATTTCAACCTATTCTTTTATTGGAATAAATTTAATTGGATAATTGGAAACTGTGGATTTAGAAACATAAGATTATGGGGATTTCTTTAAATTATTTAATATGTTATTTATGGCTGCTACTTTAGATTTCTACCCTGATATTATGATTCCTCCTATATTTTAAGGTACATTTTATGCTCTCTATTTTGTTATATATATAATTCTCTTTTTGTTTCTATTTTAACCTATTCCCTTAGCAGTTGTTTATGAAGGTTTTAGAAGACATAGAATGTAAATTGCTATTCAAGATATCATTAAATAAAAATCTGCTATGATGGCTAGTTTCATTTCATTAGATTCAAATGATGCTGGATTTTTAACTGAAAATCAATTTAAGAAATTCTTAAAAACCTTTTATAGAGGTTAATTGACTGATGAAGAAGTTAAGATTATCTTTTCAGAAATTGACAAAGATTTCAAGTAATTAATAATTATCAAATAGTGATAAGATTTAATTTGACGAATTTAATCAATTACTTTATGTCTTATAGAATAGTAAGAAAATCTCTTTACCTAGAACAAAACCACTTTAATGTTGGGAATCATTTAGAAACTTTCTTAATAAATATGGATTAAAGAAATTTATTGAATCTAATGTAATATTTATATACTATCTAAGACATTTGGTTTTTTCATGTTCCTTATTACTATAATAAATTGTGGTTTGATTATATCTGCATTCTTTATAGAGAATTTAGATGTACTGGCCATATTTGATACTATAGACACTGTATTTTTAGGCATTTTCATTTTTGAATGTTTAATTAAAATAATAGGTTTAGGAATATATGATTTTTTTGTTGATGGTTGGTATTTAAGTTGATTATATTCATAGGAATGTTTTTGATATTACATTGATATTGTTGTAGATACTATTTGATTATATTTTATTTAGTTTTGTGACAGGAAATATAGTTTAATCTATTAAAGCAAATAGAATTTTGAGAATTGCAAAAATATAAAAAGTTTTTAGATTATTTAGAGCTTTTAGATCAATAAAATTAGTAGGATATTTGTTGAGAGGATTAGAAATATTTGCTCATGTGAAAAATCTATTATATAAGATCATAATTTGTGTACCTTTAATATTAAGATTGATATTACCAGTATAGATTGTCTTTTTTACATATGCTTGTATAGGTATTTATATATATGGAGGAATTACTACTGATGATTAAAATCCTTTCTCAAATAATTCATGTGATCCAAATGAATTTAAATATTTATGGGGTTAATGTAAATATGCAGATTTTAATTCTATGGGTGGATCTTATTTAATGATGTTATAAGTATTTACAGCATCAGCATGGGGACAATTAGTTTTTGAACTCTCCTTTGACACTAAGAATCTAGTAACTCCTATGTTATTTATTGGTTCATTTGTTTTTCTTTCTATTTTCTTATTAGCACTAATTGGAGGATTAGTTTGGGAAGTATTTACAGTTGTTTCTAAGACTCTATTTGAATAAGAAATGGAATAATTCAAACCAGAAGATAGAGTTGCTTTTTAACTTAATTTTTAAGATGAAGCACTATTAGGTAGTAGTATTGGTACAGAATATGATATTCGAAATGGAACTCAATTAAGCAATGCTATTCAATTATAAAAGAAAACTGCAATTCTTAATGATGATAACCCAGATATTTTAGAATTTAGACCAAGAAGTGTTGGTATTAGGGTGCATTAAGATGAAAAGTAAGAAATTCCTATTGAATTGGATGTTCAAATAGAAACTCAAATATATAGTAAAGTATTAAGAGTAGGAATAAATCCAAATTAAGTGACTCGTAAATTGAAACCTTAAGGAGATCTAGCATAAATTATTGAAGATGAATTACTTGAAATATAGAAGTTGTATTGCGATTATTTTATTGATTATTAAGAATTTCTAGAAATTAAATTTATTAAGGAATCTCATAACATTTATAATGTTACTTCAGAATATGTAGTTCATATTAGAAATGAAATTAAGAAAGATGAAATGTTTAAAAGAAAACATGTAAATATTTCTAATCATGATTTACTTATTTAAAATGCTGTTTTAAGAGATACTAGTGAAATGTATATAAAATAATAGGAAGAATAATATTTTAAGAGTGAATATGGTTAAAAATTTGAATTAATTAAAGAATTAAAATTTTAAAGTAAATTTAAAGTTGAAAGTAAAATATTATTCTCTTTAATGGGTATATTGAAATTTCCAAAACCAAATATTAAATATTTCTTTTAAATTCTTTACTTGATAGAAAATTATTTCACTTATTAATTATTACCAGATTGCTCATTTTTTAAATTATTACATTAAATGGATGGAAAATGGTACTTAATTAGTATTGAAGATAATTAAATTGTATTTACTAAAATTGGAGCAGGACCTTGGACATATGATAATTTATTATTTGATCAAGGTTAAATGAGAATATGTGAGAATTTGAAGTTTATGAAGGAAATTAAGAATCCAGAGGTCAAAACACATATAAGAGAATTTCATACTAGTATGAATAAAATGGCTAAATAATTTGAACTTGATATTACTAAAATAGATGTTAGAAGTACTATTGTACTATATCAAATAAAAAATGAACGTTATGCTCCTCCTGATTCTGCTACTCCAAGAATGAATGGATAAAAACCAACTATTAGTCCTAGATATTTAACAATGAGTGCTAGAAATGCTATGATAAGTCAACGCAATGTTGATGTGAACTCTGTTAATGAAGATGATAATCCAGAAGGTATTTATTAGATTGGTGATAATGTTGATGAGTGTCATAGACATGTAAGTTAAACCATGATATTTGTGCTCTCTAAGGTATAAGCATAAGAGAGCAGAATTGTATATTAAAATTAGGTTATGTTAGCTTAATTTGTATTAGATTTGGCTGGAGTTATTAAGAACTATTCTGATAATTTCTTTTAATAATTAGAGGAATTATATTCTTTGCGTAGTAAACAAAGAGGAATAAAACAAAAATGATAATTAATATATATATATATATCTATAAAAATTATATTGTGAGTTCTCTGGGTAGCTTGTTAAATTATTTATAGAATTCAACAGCGACAAATCAAACATCAAATCATTTCCCATTCCTACCCAATTGTTATATCAATGGATGTACAACAAAACCTCAGGAATGATTAATAGTTGTCCTTAATTAATTCTTTAATTTCCCTAAAATATTATGCAAATTTTATATGGGTTTTCACTCTAATTTAAATTTAGATAGTTTTTGGTCAGTTTAAGTTTTTTAATTTTTTGAAATCACCTATTAACAAAATAGCATATATATTATGTAATTGATTATATAATATAAATTCATTCATTATGAAAAGGTCAATTAAGTAGCCTGCTTCCTCTTCCTATCAATTTCTCGATAAGTTAGGTGAAGGGTAATAATACTAATCATCAATAAAATAGTGCTTTTGGTTACATTTGGAAGGTCTAACATATTTCTAGTGGTTAAATATTTGCTTGTAAACTGGTTAAAAATTCTATGAGAAAGGAAAAAAAATTACTACAAAGAGAAATACAAATCTTACAAATCTTGAAAGGCAAAAAAGGTATTTGAATAATAAAAGCATTAAGGATTTACATAGTTATTTGCATCTGGTTCTGATTAACATAATACATACTTTGTAATGAATCTAATGGGAGAAAACTTGGAACAATATAGATAAAAGTAAGGAAATTATAATAAAATCTTACCAATTGGATTGGAAATCATCAAACTTTTGAAGGAGCTTCATTCGTTAGGAGTAATCCATCGTGATATAAAACCTGAAAATTTTGTTATGCAAGATAATAAGATTAATCTGATTGATTTTGGACTTTCTAAAAAATATATTATTGATGGTCATCATATCCATTATAGAGAAAATAAAGGAATGATTGGAACTGCTCGATATGCATCAATTAATGCTTTAAAAGGTATAGAATAATCTAGAAGAGATGATTTAGAATCATTAGGGTATATGCTTATATATTTGCATTAAGGCAATTTGCCTTGGTATTCAATAAGTGATTAAGATAAAGAAATCAGATATTAAAAAATAAAAAAAATGAAAAAGGCATTAAAAATTGATAAATTTTTTGGATTGCCTATTTAATTATCTATATTTATGGAATATGTAAAAGGATTAAAATTTGAAGAAGATCCAAACTATGAATATTTGATATCTCTATTTTCTTAAGAGGAAAGTGGGGCTCGTTTAGCATTATAATATTTTCAACCAAAACCTGCAATTAGATTAAAATTTATTTAAATGTAAAGAACTAGTTTTCGTTCTCCTCCAAAAGAAATTAATTCAAGCAGAAAAGCAAGTTTTGAAGAATCTTCATCAGCTGGATCTGATATCCAAGAGGAACTTCAAGAATCCATTTAAATAAAAAATTTTATTGTTGGAATTAAACAACCAGCTGATAGTCCAATTTATGTTAAATAGAGCTGATTAATATATATACTAAAATTTTATTTATTATATTAATTTCAATCAGTTTCCAAAAGTTTCTTAAGAACTATATTTAATGTATAAAAGTCCATCATCTTGATTCTTATATTTTTCATATATTTATCCTATAGATTATTCTTCAATAAATTGAATAGTATACCTTATTACAAAATATAATTATTGCAAAGTAAATATAATGTAGTTTATGAATTAATTTTAAGTTTCCCTTTTAAAATTTAGAAAATACTAGCTACAGGATCCTTTTTACTGAAAATACAAACTACTCTAATTATTTGTAATAAAACTTTATTACATTGGAAATTCAGAACCAGCACCACTTAATGATTATTTATATAATCTATGTGGTTCACAAATTACAGCAACTTATGAATTGTCATTATATTTATCAGATAATTATCTCCTTGTTGCTAGAGTATGTTTAGTGATAAATTAATAATTAGTATCATTTTTTAATCCTAATGTGTATGTCAATGAGGTTTGCATTTATATTAAATAATATAATAGAAATTAGACTTTATATTATTATTGTTAATTATAATAATTTATGGAATAGTTTTATTAGTATCAGTTAATCAGATTTACAATTAAGAAGGTAATATATATTATGATCGTTTTTTAACCTCTTCACTAAATACAATATATTAAAATGCTTCTCGTAATGTTTTCACAAAGACAGGTTTCAACACTACATGTAGCATTCCAACTTCAATACATTATTCTAATGTTTCCTTATCATCATGAGCTGTACATCCTATTATTGGAATATAGGCTAATTCTAAATCAATCATCATTTAAATTAATATTTTTGTAGCCTATTTTTTATATATAGAAAATAAATACTTCAATACCTCCCATAATTGGCATATCTAAATCCATCAAAATCAAACATATATCTAATTGATGTTATTAAACCATATCTATAGCTTACTAACCATTAAAGGCTTTCAAGAATTATTTATATCCCATACTTTTCATCATCAAAATAAGAGTATCATGATTAAATGGTTCATCATCTACAATCATAATTGATTTATCAGTATCCATTAGACCTTTATTCATGAATGAAGAACGTACACGTCTTAAATGTTTATGTTTCTTTTACCATTTACTAAAACTAATTTTATTTGTTAATGGCTAATTTGCTTAAGGTTCATCAAGTACTGTTTAGGAATTTGATTAATACTATGGATCTGGAACAGAAAATATGGATTTTACCATACAATTATTATTAGAAGAGCTTTTCATATTTCTTAAACTTCTTTATTTAAGCATTTAACCAACAGATTATATTTCTTATTAACTTTCCATTGTCTTGCTTTCTTTAATGATAATTTTAAATCTAAATTCTGTACCTTATACAGATTAAGCTACTTCCAAATTTTACTCAGATGAACTTAAAATGTTAATTAAATTATTAGTAATTTCTAATGTCATTTTTAATTCTTTTTTAATAACTAAATGTTTTTTTTTAAATTGGAAATCAGATTATGATTTAATCCATAAATTAATATTCTCAATATCTTCATCACTGAAACCACATCCACTTCCATCAATAACAAAATTTATTTCTGTATGTTCTTTATTTAAACTTAAACTCAAAGTTATTTAACCACCAGAAGGTGTATGTCTATAAGATTAATTTAAAATATTGTATAACACTCTTTCTAATTTGAATAAATCTGATAATATATAAAAGCTAAAAAATTAAATTAATATTTTTATACTTTTCAATTTATTATAATGGAATCTATTCTACAAAAACTTAAAATAAGATTCTTTTATTAATACATTATGATTCAATTAATTCTGATAAAGACAATAAAAATTATTTCATATTGATTTTACTCTTTTATATACTAATCTTATCAATCTAAGGACTTAAGAATTCCAATAAATCAGAAATTTAAAAATATTACAATTTTGAATTAATATATGCAGGCTTTATAAAGTTGGATTTAGTTTTAGTATCTACATCTATACTATTATAGGCTTAAGAGAGAAATCCCAATGTTGCATTCATGGGAGTTTTAAGTTTATGAGCAAATAGATCAGTAAATTACTTTTTAAATTGAGAAAACTTTTATTTTGTTTATTTTACTGTGAAGTTATCAATCTTCCAAAAAGCTAAAATTTAATTATTACCTAGACTTGTTGTTTTATGAATTACTTTAAACTTTTATTTGATATTCTTTTACACATCAATTAAAGATGCTATATAATGATTGTATTCAGAACTATCAAGTGAATCTTAATTATTAATGAATTTTAAAAATGATATACAATCTTAAAATAATATCTATTATTATTAATTTGAATTTTAATCAGGACTTGATGTAATATCTCTGTCTTAATAACATTTTATATAGAATTATTGATTTTCATCCATTTATGTGTTTTAGGTCAATAATATGTAAGGATTAGCATCTAATTGTGGTTAACTATTTGGTGTAATGTCTTAATAATTTTAATCAAATATTTTAATTATGATTTGTTTCTTTAATTCTTATAGTATTTCATTTTCAGCTTCTTCAATTCTAATTATTTGAACAAAATCTTTAAAAAGTTGATAGATTATAAATGCCACAAAATATATAATTTATTGAAATTCTGAATACTTTATATTACCTTAATATTAAAGGGAAGTCAAAATGATGCTAAGTGTAACTTACAAGATTTTACAATAGAGTTTTATTTTGTTATTTTCTGTTTAATAAATTTCTATAAGACACAACAAAAACCATAAAGACTATGTTCCATAATGCGAGAGTTGAAATATACTATAACAGAATAGGATAAAATAGGTTGATTACTAGAATCTTTTAAATTTAGCGATCAGTATAAGCTATCCTGACTATAATTTTAAGAATTATTACCAATTTTTATAGCAAGCAATACTGAAATCCAAATTAGTATAGATATTTAATTATCTATTATTCCTTTAATAAGGTCAGATAGAAATATGATGCCTAACATATATTGGAATTTAATTCTTAGTTTAATCATTATAGATAATATTAATAATTAAAACATGCAATTTTTCTCTATTTAATAAAGATATAGCCAAAGCTTTCTTTTTTTGGTGATAACGATAAACTTTTGTTGTTATTGAATAATTTTAAAAACAGTTTACTTTTTAGATGATGATAATTTTATTATTATTTGTCTTTTTAATAATGAATAATATATATATATTGAAAATATATAAGAGATTGATAATGTTATCATTTAATACTTGAAGTAATTCCTTTGGATCCAAAGACAAGGTTTTAAGATTTAACCTTGATTTCATTAATTCTCAAGAATGTTTCTTGTAAACTTCTAATAAAGACCGGTTTAGCAATGATACAAATCATACCTGCTGTAAAACATTCCTATTATGTATCTTTATCATCATGAGCAGTACAGGCAACTATTGGTATATGATCAATTTCCCCATCCTACATTTATTGGATAAGAATTTATGTTGCCTATTTAATATATATATTTATACTTTTACTCCTCCCATTATTGGCATATCTAAATCCATGAATATAACTTTGATAGATTTGTAATGTTTTTTTACCAATTCTATACATTATTAACCATGATAAGCACTAATAAAATTTTTGAATCCTAAACTCTTAAGCATCAATTTTAAGGTATCATGATTGAATGGCTCATCATCAACTAACATAATAGTTTGATTCATATCTTGTCTTATATCTATAGAATCTGCAGCACGTTTCACATTAAATGAATGATCAAATGCTACAGAAATGGTTAAAGATTTATCATTAACCATTTCTTTTTAAAATACAGATTTTTGGAAAGGGAAAACACTTTACTAGATTGGATGACTTTAAAAAAGAGCATTTTAGGGATAGTTTTAAACCACTTGTGTACTTAATTAAAGAGGCTTATTAGCAAGAGGTTCAACTTCTATCTCATATTCCTCTAACACTTTATCCCTACTTATAAAATAATATCAATTAATACGATATTTAATTTTAACTTTTTGTAAATAGTGAAATATGATTAGGTAGATTTTATTTAAGTGAACCTGAACTTCTTTTTTAGAAACTCGAATTCTTTTAACTAATCTCGAAAGAGTGCTGGATATTTACTTATTGACAATTAAGGCTGATAAAAAATTAATAAATTGCTCCTTCTTCTAAATCATGATTAATTTATAAGGAACATTGAAAATCACTAAGAAAATAAATTAATTTATTTGTTATTTATAAAGTAAGACTAAATTTGAATGTTGATCTTTTCACAATTGAATTACGGAATCCATGAATACATTTATTTTGTAATCTAGCAAAATTGTTGATTTATTCAAATTATTCTTACTTAAATCCTTAAACATTATCATTAATTTTAAATTAAACTTAATTATTTTCAGACAATACATCCACATTTAATTAGATTTTGCCCATAATTTATGTATGTCTATATGATTTATTCAATAAATTGAAAAGGATTCTTTCTAATCTTAATTAATCTGTATTTAAATATATTGGTCTACAATATTAAAATTAAATACCTATCATTAACATCAAAAGGTTTAGAATTTATAGTAAAAATAACTTAGATCTTTTTAGCTCTGCATTATAATTCAATCATATCATAAATTAATTATAAAGTCTTATATAAATTTACTTTACTCACATTATATGTAACTAATTTTACTGAATTCACATAATCTAAAATGTCCTAAACTTAATAGTATTATATTTTTGAATTGATAAATGCAGGTTTCAAAAAACTATTTTTTACTTATTCATCTATTGTATTATTCTCTTAAACTAAAGCCTATAAAAATCCTAGAGTAGTATTTAAAGGTGTTTTTAATTTGTGAGTGAATATTTTAGATAAACTCATCTTAAACTTATCAATATTTTTATTTTGTTTTGATGGAATTTTATCATCTAAATTAACCAGTGCAACTAAAGTATAAATTCTTTAAAATTATTTAAATTATTCTATATATAATCTGTATGATTGTTTTTATCCTATTAATTCATCATACTCTGATGCTAAAATTACTTTATTTTTCATTTAATGCTTATCTTTTTAATAGAATTCTAGAAATCCACCTAAAGTTTCAAAAACAGAAGGTTTTGAATAAAAAATTTGAGATTCTTATGCAATATCTATTTATTACATTGTATAACATTTAATTTTTAAATCCTTCCTTATTTGTTATTACAATTTCTGATTTTCACAACGATAAGAAAATAATGTAGCATTTGAATTTAAGATTTATTCTGATTATAATAATTTTTCTCCATCAATTTCATTTTAATATTTATCAAATGCATAATATCTAACATTCTTCATTATCTATTTTATTATTCTATTTTGTGTTTATTATCTAAGACTTGTGAAATTGTATTTATTATAGAGAAATATGATAATTAGTATCAATTATTCTAAAATTGTTTATAATGTACTAATCTCTACCATAGGTTGTACTTATGCACATGTGAATGCAATTACAATAATGAGAGTTACAAATAAAACTAGATGTTAATCCAATTAAATTGAAAATATATTAAACCATATTGCAGGTACTCCTCTCTATATCAATTAGTAACAACAATAATAAATTACAATTACTTGTTCAAAAATTAAATGTTTTCTATGACTCTTATACTTGTATCCCAAATAACCTTCTTATAAGCATTAATTTTACTTACAGAACATCAAACCAAAAAGTATTGAATTAGATATTATTGTGAACATCTCTAACTTGATAATCCCAAAAATCAAATTGATTATTGAAAGAAAGAACATAGTTTCATTTTAATTTTTAACAGAGGTGCTATTCATTATATATTATAAGTAAATTTAATAATAATAATAACATTCTTATAATAAATATTAATGATCTATTGAATTTATAATTAATGCAATATAAATATCATAAGAATTACATATAGAAATCTCACAAACAAATATATATCATTAATTTATTTTTTTTTGTCCTCTCAATAATCAAGTAAATTTACAAATTTTTTATTAAATTAATTTAATTATTAATGCATTAAGTGGACCCTATCATTGCTAAGTTGAGAATTTCAGAATTAGATGAATATGAACCCCTCTAGAAATATCTTCCAAATGTATATACTCTTTTTAATATAATCTATAGCCAAAAATCAAGTTATCACATATCGCATTTGGAATATTAGTTCTCTCAATCTTATGCACCTTGTTAGGAATTGCACCTAGAGTTATTACAGGTTTAGTTGGAGCCTTGATTCCTTCATTTTAAGCAGTCAATAAATACTAAACTACAGGTAGAATGCAATCAAAATTAAAATAGGGGAGATTTACACGTGCCTACCTTATTTCATTATATTTTCAACATATTTGACATTTTAAGGATGGATTATGTGGATCTTTTCATTTATACCATGCTTCAATACCATGTGTTTATTATTTGTTTTGGCTCTCTATCACCCTGATGTTCAATTATCAAATACAATTTGGACTTTGTTGTAGAAAGTATTATGAGAAGCAAAATTTAAATATAAATATATATATATAATTAATGGATTCAACTATCTAGGAGATGATGGAAGATAAATCTATGAGTTTTAAGTTCTTGTTGGCAGTACAATAGCATAAATACGAAGAAGCTTATTAAATTGGCAAAGAAAGTACATTCATTTGTCACTGTAGTTTTGAAGGCCAATCCATCTGATAAGAGCGTGAATCGATTTATGTTATTTTTGCAGTCAAATATGGGATATCGTAAGACATACACTTAAATTTTATGTCGATGGATTGTTTGATTTCGAAGAGGAAGAAGAAGAGGAGGAAGAATTTGAATGTGAAGATGAAGAAGCTGAAGAAGATGAACTTGATAATGCTGATGAATAAGAAGAAGAAGAGGAGGAATATGAAGAATATGAGGAAGGTGATCAAATATAATAAGAGGATGACTCTGAGTATGAATGGGTTTATGAGGATGAAGAAGTGGCTGAAGGATTTGATGAAGGAGAAAATACAGATGAGGAAAAGAATTTTGTTTAAGAAGACACTAATGAAGGAGATATAAGTTTAAGTATGGACAAAAAGATTTATGAGAAAAAACAAACATAATAATAATAATAATAATAATAATAATAATAATAATAATAAAGTTCAAAAAGAGTAGTTTAATAAATTAAACCTAAATCATCTATTCCAAATGGAATACCTACTTTACCTAAAGTAATTATTTATCATTATTATTTTTATTAGATTCAAAATAAATAAAGACCCAATTCTTAATCCAAATAACAAATTTAAAAACCTTAACCATTATAATAAAATTTAATTAAATAAGCAGCAGTTAATTGTATAGATTTATTATTATTTTTCTTTAGAACTTCGTTTTCCAAGTAGTATGGCAAAGAAAAAGTGAAATGATTGTTGACAATTATTATGGCTACTTATTAAAGCATTTTAATTTAATAAATGAGAATTTAGAATTTAATTTCTTTTTTACTTCTTCTGGAGACTCAGAAATTAATTAATTTATCTAAATAATTTATTATGTCAGATAAAAGAGACGAATACACATACATGGCTAGATTGGCTGAGTAAACTGAAAGATGGGAAGACATGGTAATTACTAAATTTCAAGAGTAGGTAGAGAACATGAAGAAGGTAGCAGAAATAACTAAAGATTTGAATAATGAAGAGAGAAATCTACTTTCAATAGCATATAAAAATACAGTGGGATAGAGGAGAACTGCATGGAGAGCAATTACTGCTTATGAGATTAAGGAGAAATAAAAGGTAAGAGTAAAATCAATAAGTGATAGATTGTGAAATATTAGGAAGTACTTTAATATTATAAGGCAAGAGTAGAGAAGGAATTAGATTATTATTGCAATGAGGTTTTGTAATTGATAGATCATACTTTATTGAAGAAGACAACTAATACAGAGGCTAGAGTATTTTATCACAAAATGAAAGGAGATTATAATCGATACATTTCAGAATATTCTTAATAAAAAGCTTAAGAGAAAGCAATTTAATAAGCTTAATAAGCTTATCAAACAGCATTAGAATTAATTGATAAGGATAAGTTTCCAAAAACTAATTTATTAAGATTAGGAGTTACTCTAAATTACTCAGTCTTTTGTTATGAAATTATGAGTGATGTTGCCAAAGCATGTGAATTGGCTAAAACTGTAAAAGATGAAGTATTTATTATAAATTATATATAAGGCAATTAAAGAGTTGGATGATATGGAAGAAGACCAATATAAAGATGTAACTACAATTCTTTAATTGATAAATGATAATCTTACTAATTGGTAGGCTGAGTTACCAGATGATGGTGGAAAGAAATGAATTCATTTAATATTATTAATATTAATATTAACAAATACACAAAAAGCTATTTATCATTTAGGTATATCTAATAATTTCTTTTGATCTTCAGGACTTAATTTTTAAAATATTTATTGTAGAAATACTTTTACTGAATCTAACTATTCAAAGATCCTAAGAGCATTAACTATCTATGAATCTATAAATGTTGTAGAAAACTTTGATTTATAACAATTAGCAAATACTTTGAGAATCTAAATAATATTAAAATAAAATAGTACTTATAATGCATTATCAGATTTACCATTAACGAATTATTCTCCATTTTAAATTATAAATTCAGCCAATAGATTATGTTAAATATAAGCCTATTTTTTATCATAGTGCAAAGGCAATAAATATAACCATGTTTCTATACCCTATATTAAATCTTATCCTAAAGATTGTGGTTAAGATTTAATAATTTTACCTAAAGCAGAGATTGAATGATCTCTAGCTTATCCAAAGTGTTTTTCATTATCATCTTAATCTTTTTGTGCTTTTAAAGAATCAACTAATGCTTTTAATAGAGATTACGAGACTTATAAATACAATTCTTAAGGAGTGTTTATAGCCATTAAACCTATTCCATATACAGCCACTTATCTGACTGAGCATATTTTATCAACTGCATAGATAGTTAAGGCTTAAGCAAGATCAATGAAATGGTTTTGGATATATGGGAAGCCCAAAAATTCAATCATATAATCTATTAGACAAAGTCCAAATTGATGCATTTTAGCAGATTTATGTTAATCAAGAACTTTTTGTAATATTTGATTGCATATTATTTCATAGAGAGGTAAGACAAATTCTTTATGAGTTTTGAATAAAGAACCAATACATTCAGCAATCTTTCCATGTAAATTCTCTTCTGTTTCAGTATCTTCCTTTATAGCATTCTTTTCATCTTCATCTACATCTTCTTCCTTAGCTAAATTCTCATTCTCAGCCCTTCTTTTATCTGATTCTAACAATAATTTAAATACTTTATCTGACAATTCTGTCACTTCCTCTGTTGTCATAAATGGTTAAGAAACAATATCAATTATTTCTTTAATGCAATCAATTTATTAAATAATCACAGAGGGATCAGATTCTTTAAATGCTGCTTCTAAAATGATTCCAAGGAAATACTTAGCACCATTTATCAATTATTATGAATTGTTAGTTTCTTTAACATTCTTAACCAAACTGACTAAACATTTGCATGCAGCACTTCGAATGTTTTCATCAGAATTAAATTAAGATAATGGTACAATTAATTGTATACACTTCTCTACAAAAGGAAAGAATGATTATTTGAGTTCTTCAATAAAGACAGATAACATATGAATTGCAACTTCAGCTTCCTCATTATCATATGTATGCAATTCTTTATTTGATTCTTTAGTATTTATATTAAACACTTATTAAATTAATTGAAATAAGGAAGGTACAATTTATCCAAGATATTTTGCTAATTATTATGGACAAACTAAAGCCAATCTCTACCATCCTGAAAGTACATAAGACTTTTATGGATCAATAGCTTCCAAATTACTAGTTTAAACTTGAATTAAAATCTAAACAGTCTATTCTAAAAAAGGTAGAAACACTTACTCTCCTACTGCTGAAGCTATTAAAGTAATAGTTTCAATTGCTTAACCTTTCAATTATCTATATTATTTTGTTTGATGAGTTGAAAATATTTAGAATAATAATGGAAGTAATTCATTTACATATGGAATAAAAAATAATTTACTTGATTCTGCTGTTGCTGCAATAACACTAATGGCATTTTCTTTTTCAATAGAAATACCTGTGTTCAAAAATTTAATTGATAACTAAATTAAATTAGGCAAATAAGCCTCTATGCCTTTTTCAGTTCCCTCTACAAAATTTGTAAGAGCAGCTAAAATATGAGAATTTACTCTTGGCACATCCTCTACAGTTAAACGATTCAAGAATTATGGTACAACAATATGCAAGTAAGATTCTTAGAATTTAGGTTTCATATCATCTGCAATCTATCCAATAGCATGACATACAGCATATCGTATCATTGAATTATTATCATTTAACATAGGTAATATCAATTCTATTGTTGATTTGATATCAACAATATTATCAATATATTCACCTACTTGAGATAATCCCATTATGGCAGCATGTTTACATCTCCAATCTTAATGTCTTAATAATTCACTTACTATTGGATTTAAAAGAGGTAACATTTCCTTTTTACCTAATGATTCTATTAATCTATCTATACTAGACATTCCAAATCTTGTTGTCTCACAATCTTCATCTTATTCTATATCATCATTAAATCCTTCTGGAGGTTTCATCCATTCATCAGTAATAGTAGAACTTATTTATATCATATGAAAGAATATCATTTCAACCACTTACATTAAATAGATTTTTTCAAATTTAAACAATCCTGGAAACTTTTCAACCATACTCAATAAAGTTTCAGTTCCAATTCTCTTAACACCATTCTCTATTTAAGATTCTCTAAACATACTATAAATTCCATTAAAGAATATATTAAACTACTTTCTTAAAAATTTAGGTTTAGAATCCACTATATTTGAAAAGACTTCCATAATACCTTCACCTAAAGATTGATCTTAAATTGTAATTTCAAGTGCAGACTTCATCATATTTGATATTAAATCTTAAAAGATCTTATATTATGTAGGTAATGAATATTTAATATAATTGCCTAAAGCATGCATAGTAGATGATTTAATTTTTATTTATGGACTTACCAATCCTTAAACAAATAAAGTATGAAGATCTTATTAATATTTATCAAATTAATCAATAGAATACATAAAGAGATTCCCAAGAATTTTAAAACCACATTCTATTATATCATTATTTGATGACAAAAACATTTACCATAATGTTGGTAGTAAATTTGGCCATTCATTATGATTATCATTTTCATACAAAGATCCACCTATTTCTCCTATTGTATCACATAATTAATTTCTGACTATATGACTATTTTCCACTTCAATAAATTAAAATAGATGCAATTTTACAGTTTCTTTGGTTTCTACAATCAATTAATTCCACACATTCTTATGACTCTTTGGAGCAAACCTCGATAGACTATATCTCAAGTAAACTGGAGCAAATTGCCTAATTTTTAATTCCTCATGTCTACAAAGATTGAGCATTTGCATTACAAATTCATTTGGTTATGCTTCTCTAAGTTAAGCTAACTGATCTTCCCCTTATTTTCTACTCTAATTATTTTGAGAGAAAATTCCCTAAATAATTTACTAAAGTTAATCTTGAAAATTCATATTAATAATTATATATTTCATTCTAACTCTTCCAAATAATCCTTCACCTATGATGGAGGCAATATTCTAAACACATGATCATCTCTAATCACTCCTACTTCTATATTTGTAGGGGTTATCTAACCTAATTAAAAATTTTATTTAACTTATACCTTCAAACCCTTCTTTCAAAGTCAATAATGCTGTATTTATGGCATCTTCAATCTCCATATCTGCATTATATCTCTTTTCTAAAAATGCCTTTGCATTCTTTGCTTACTTTCCAATTGCAGTAGCCTTCCAACTATAATAAGCTCCACTTGGATCAAGTTAAACTAAATGGGGACCTTCTTCATCATATCCTGCAATCAAAATTGAAACTCCAAATGGTCTAATACCTCCTCTTTGAGTTGCCACTTATACATCCTAATTTATAAATTTATTATATACTTCTGCTAATTCTCTGCTTAATGTTTATACAAATATTTCCTCTTGATATTTAAGATCATATTTTTTAACCAATTTTCTAGCTTATTATGCAAGGACTCTGAAATCTGGACCCAATCCTGCATATGTGGCTGCAATATTATCTGTCAATAGTGAAACCTTTTAAACACTGGATTCTTCAACCAAAATTGATGATTGTTTCTTTTCTACTACCAAAACAACACCATTTTTAGCTTTAATTCCAATAGCTGTGTCTCCTTTTGCAACAGCATTAAGAGCATATTCAATTTATAATAGTTTTCCTTTACTACTGAATGTTGTTAATGCGAAATCTGTCATACCGGTGTTTATTATTTTAAATAATTTAATTAATATAAATATATTTATGATGATATCTCACTTGGCTAGTCATTAGACGCTGAGCCTTTAAAAAAAGATTACAATTCTCTGATAATATATGTTTATATTAGTATACAATAGATATATCTAATAAGTATATAATATTAAATCAGAAAGGCATTGGACTCTTTCTTTATAGATGTCTCTTTGACTTTTATATATTTAATTAAAAGCGCATTAGATTTATTCTTGGAGTGTCTTTATCAATTCTCAAAGTTTGTTATTCTAACTGCTTTACAAATTTGGATGCCAATTCTTCAAAATTTTTTTATTCACTAGAGCTGTAATTCAAATAGGAAGTCTTATTCATTTTAGTTACCTAAGGAAATTTAGCTTTATCTAAACTAGTTAGCATATATGGTGATCGATCCATGTCACTAAGTAATTATGGAAGATTGGTTGATCGAAATTGTTTATTAGATGTTTGTTAGAATCTATTAACAGATTAACTAGTTATTTATTTAACATATTCTGCAAATGATTACTATTGACCTTTTTTCTATACTTACATTATATATAATTAATGAATTGTTATAAGAAAGAAATCACAAAAAATTGGTTATATTAAGAAGATAAATATATAGAAAATATAGTTGGTGCTTTTGAAGTAATAAAATTACATGAAGAAAGATCAATATAAGCTGGAAATACTCGTTAAAAGATTGCAGAATAACTATAAACATATATTGATGAAGATCCATAAGATTTACCTCAACTTTTAAGTACAAAACATGTTCTTTCACTTGATGAATAACTTTTAGATTATCCATGTTAGATTATCCATGTTATAAGAAAGGTGGTATATTTGGATCTGTGACATAAAGATAATGTTAATTGTAAAAAACTACACTTGGATAATATAAGAAAGGTGATGTAATTATAAAAACTTTTGGTGTTATTAAAACATTTAATATTTAACATCTTGAAGTTGCCAATAAAGATTTTAAATGGGATGTAAGTTATTAAAAGTTTCTTGTAAGACTTATGTTCAATTTTGTTAAACATAGTCCTGTATGGATATATTTTACAGGTGATGATGAATGTTATAAGTATTATGATTATTTTAAGTGTCATATTACTATGAATAAAATGTTAAAATTGCCTACCATTATTTTAGAATCATTGTCACTTGTAAAAGAGAATTATTTTCTATTATTTGCTTAGAAATTAGAGATCTACTCAATACAGGTTATATATTAAAGAAAAAAGGCTGCTAAATTAGGAAAAGAAGAAGCTAAATTCTTAATGGAAATAGATATTAAATAATAAGAAATATTTTATAAAAGAAATGGTTAAATAAGAGTTTTTAATTCTTTAAAAGAGAAGAAAGAATGAATTAAATGGATGTGGAAGAGAAAAAAAAATAGATTAAATTAGATAAGAAGATGAAATTAAAAAAATGAAATAGCGTTAATTTCTAGGATCCAAATCAGTACTAATTTTTGAATTATTCGAATGATAAAGACCTATGATGGCAGATTGGTTAGAAAAAAGTGAAGAAATACAAAACACTTAAAAAGTTAGGGAATTAATATTTACAATTCTAATCAAATCAATTAATATTGTTGTAGATATTAATTGTCAATTTTTTTATATGAATTATTTCATTAATCTTAATAAGAAAGATCAATCTGGATACCTTTAAAATTAGTTTAGACCAATTCATTAAAAACTGAATCCAAAAAAAGTATCATATATTTAGAAATTGATATTCATGTCCAAAGTGGAACCTTAAGTTGAGTATAAAAGTAAAATTATTTCATTGTAATTTTCTATAATTAAGTCTGATTTAGATGAAAAACATCCAAAAGGTTCATAATAAATGTAAGTATATTAATATTATTTTTAGAATTTAAAAGATACTGTATTATTATTAATGGAATAGTTTATATTTCAATCAATCAATAATAATATAATATGGGCTTGTAGCACAATTGGTAGTGCGCCTGACTACGGATCAGGCGGTTGCAGTTTCGAGTACTGCCAAGCTCGAATTTTTTTATTTATATATATTTATATATATATAGTATAAAGAATATATATAAAATTGAAAAGAAGAATTTGAATAACTAATCTATTAAATTCATCAATCAGCAATTATGTGAGTTATAAGAAGTGGTGCACATTTCTTTCTTTCTTCTAATGTTAAAAATGGTAATAATTTTTCATAATTTGGACCATAGTTTTATTCAATAACTTCAAGGCTCATCTTCTCTAACTAATATTGATTATTTACAAAGTCTTACAGCCTTACGCAAAATGTCAATTGTCTTTTTCATCTTCTCTTTACCTATGGATTTTTCAATTTTAATAAGAATAGTGCTGCATTTGTTTAAATCCTGTTTATTTAACAATTCTAAACATTCCTCTTCTATCTCAGAGATAGGTTTGATAGCTTATTTTTGTTTCTAGACATTTTTATCACAAGATTCATCCTCATCATCTTCTCTATCTTCTATTTATGTCACTGGTAGAGAATTGTAATCTTGAACATTTTCTTTTCCATTTTAATTGGATATCTTATCTATTTAATTATTATCCCCTCCAATCTAAATAAAATAGATTTTTATAATTACTATTCCTTATAATTCTTAAAGCATAAGATCTAAATCTTTATTTTTCTGTTACACACATTCCAATAGATCAGATTTTGGTTTAATTTATACTCTTGAATCTTTTTATTGTTTTCCTCCAAATTAAGGTGATTTTTCTTGTGGTTTTGGTTCTACTTTGTATTAATTTTACTATAAATTATTATCTAAAGCTCTATCTTTTTGAATTCGTTTTTTTTCTTATGATTATTATTTTTCAAGTATTTTCTATTTTTCAATTAACTCTCTTTCTTTTTCTCTTTCTTTTTCTCTTTCTTTTTCTCTTTCTTTTTCTTTTTCTCTTTCTCTTTCTTTTTCTCTTTCTTTTTCTTTTTCTCTTTCTTTTTCTTTTTCTCTTTCTTTTTCTTTTTTTTCCATTTCCATCTTTCCCTATTATTGAAATTATTTCATTTTTAACTATCTAATTCTTTCTTCTTGACGTTAGTTATTATTATAAGCTTAAGGTTATTCATCCTAATATTTAACAGGAGGAGACTTATCAACACTTGTAGGTCTTTTTTTCTCAATAACTTTTTTTTCAGGCTTCTTTTAATCAACTACTTATTATCTTGAACTTTAAGGTCTTTGACTAGTAGGAGGTGGGTGTTTGTCTTTAGGAGCAGTAGGAGGTCTTTTATTTTATAATTATTTATACCTTGGTTATTCTGTTGGTTTTTAAACAACTTTTGGTGAAATGAATTATTCAACTTTTTATTCATTCAACGCTTATTCGCTATTTGAATGTTTTTTTTATGGTTAACCATCAAATCTATTAGGTTCACTTTTTTATTATCCTTTATCTTAATCACTTTTAGGTCGAATTTATTATTAGAGCAATAATGGAGATAATTTTTTTTCTTCTGTAATTATTTCTTTTTAAGAGTCCTTTTTTTAAATGATAGGAGAATTTTTAACAATTGGCTCTAATTTTTTTGGGATTTCTATTTGTTTTGGAATCTCAATCTATTTAGGGACTTCCCAAGATATGGGTTTAGGCAATTCAGTTATTTTTGGTTATTCTTATTATTAAATTTATCTGGAAGACGGAGGTTCTTATTATTGTCTGGATGAAGGTTATTTTTATAATTAAGGAGGCTTTATTATAGCAGAAGGATCTTGTTATTATTGTTATGGTTTTTTTATAATTTCGGGAAATTCTTAAAGATTTTTTTGGTTTTATTCCATAAGTGAAGGTGGACATGGTTTTTCATTCAAAATGAGATTGATTTGATCAAAATTTCCTTTGATTTCAAAATTCTTATAAATAAATACAATTAAATTACTCTATTATGGAGAATAGTATGAGAGAATTCTTATCGTTAAATAGTTTCACTAAGGAAGCTTTTAATTCTATTTATTATAACAGGCATTTCTATAAATTAGTAGAATAGTTACTGAGAATTTCTTGTATTGTTGGTCTTCGTCTATAATCAACTTGAAGTAACGAGGCAACTAATTATCTTAATTCTTTAGAATAATGATTTGGAATGGGTTTATATTAACCTTTGACAATATTCAAAGCTAGAAAGTGAAGAGATTCTGCTCTAAAGGGAGGTTATAAAGCACATAATTCATAGAGGATTACACCTAATGACCAAATGTCTGTCATAAATGTATAGGGTTTTCCTTCAATGATTTCAGGACTGATGTAATATGGAGTCCCCACCATAGTTTTAGCCTTCTCAATAGTTTTCTTTAGAACTCTTGCAATACCAAAATCTCCTAATTTAACTTGTCCTGTTTTAGTTAAAAAAATGTTTTAGCATTTTAAATCTCTGTGAATGATCTTCCTATCATGAACATGTTTGATTGCCAAACATATTTAAGTAAACCAATCTAAAATTTAAGCTTCAGGTAAATATTTTCCTTTTGCTTCTTTAACTTTTTAAGCCAAATCACCACCTGTTTATAATTCTCAAATTTACCATCTGCATACTCCATAACTATACACAAACGTCCTTTTTTTGTTCTATAGACTTCTTTAAATCTCACAATGTTTGGATGCTGTAAAAATTCAAGTATTTTAGCTTCTCTCAAAGTTTCTTCTCTCTCTTAAGTTGTCATGGCTGCTAAATCCATATATTTAGTCACCCATAGTGACCTAATATTCTAAAGTATCTTTTCTACTTGTCTTGAAGAAATTCAACTAAATAAGCTTTTCCAAAAGAACCTTCTCCAAGTAATTTGAGACGCTTATAGAGTTCAAATTCTGCTTATTTTCTCATTTTAAATAATTATTGTTAAAAATCAAATTCAATAATTCAACTTCTTCTCTTCTTGTTATTGAATACAATTTCGGTTTATCTCTTCCTAAAAATTTGATACACAATGGATCTTGAGACTTTGAAACATCGATGATTTTAATTAATTAAGGTCTCAAAATATCATAATCTGAATAGGATCTGTGAGAACATATATAGTACTAACATTAAAATAAAATGAAATATTAAGATTTTTATGTTCAATGTGTTATTACTATTTCAAAATAGTCTCAAGTGCATTGATGAAAATATTAGTAAATCATTAATAAGTTCTTTTTATCCTTAAATAATACTTTTTCAATAAATTTAATAATTAATCTAATTTTTTGATCGATTGATTTGAATTTCTCCTCTCATATAATTTATTTATCATCAAAGGATGCAAATAACTAATTGAATACATTCTAAAGATATTTATATAAATCTAAATACTTAATCTATATTTTGGAACATTATACTATTTGTGTACTTATCTAACTTATTCTTATGTTTTAGTTAATGTTTTTATTCACAATCAGTAAGGTTTTTAGTTCTTATAAATTTTTTTGTATTTTTAAGTATTTCTAAATTATAAAGGCTGTTATACAATTTATTAAAGGAAAGAATTAACTATTTGAATATTCTTTTATTATTACATCTCCTATATTTTATTTACATGCAATAATCCTATTTTTCCATCCTTGTTCTTAAAACCTCCTTTAATGGAAAAACTGTATTGGTTAACAAAAATGGCTTTACAATTGTTTTCTTAAGATTATCACGACATATATAGAGTAATTGACTATATTTTTTTTTTTGATACAATTTAACAATCTCTTATAATATTTTACTTTATTTTGATAAGTAAGGCAGATTTAAAATTATAAATTAGATTATTAATATTATTATTGATTAATACTTGCATCATAATATAATAAAAATAGAATTTCTTATTTTTATTTAATAATAATATAATCGACAAAATATTTGTGTGCTAATCAAATTAAAAAAGAGCTGTTTTAGAAAAAAAGGAAACTAAATAATTAAATACATTTTAATTTGCCAATGCCACCTAGAAAAACTTAAACCATCAAAGATGTCATGAAAGAGAGCAAACCAATAATTGATTAAAAATTAGGAACAACAAGAAGTAAGAAAGTTAAGAAAAATGAAAATGATGAAGATTCAGATTATGTCAATACAACAAAAAAATAAAAAAAATCTAATTAATCTTCCAAAATTAAGTCTTCAACTGGTGAATAAAAAGAATCTCTCAATTCTGATGATCCATAAGATAAATTATCTCCTGAATTAAAACCATCTTCCTCAGTTCAAAAAGCAAGAACAAAAGCTGAAAAAATGCAATATAAGCACAAGTATGATTAAATTAATTGTTATAGTACAAAAAAAGATGAAGTAAGAGCAAAATAAGAAAATGAGAATTAAAACTAAAATTTGGATAAAGAGGATGAAAATATTGATAACCTGAAAATACCAAAATAAGTGTAAGAGAATGAAAATCTAAATAAAAATGAATTGAATAATAAAGATAACAATTAAGAATAATAATAAAATTAAGAAGATAATAATGAATAATAGATGAGTAAAAATAATCAAGAAGACATATAACAGAATCAGCAAAAAAAAGAATTTGATTTATAAATAATCCCTTAAATTATTATAAATGGTCCAGAAAGTGAAATAAAAAAGGATAAATAAAGGTAAGAGGAAGAAGAAGAAGAAGAAAAAGAATAATTAGAAAAATAATAGAAGTTGATGGTTGACATTGTATTTTGTTGTGATGCCAACATTTTGGATTGTAGTAGTATTTAATCATTATAAGTACAATATTATCTGATTTTAGAACACCATAGAATTAATTTTATAATAAATAAAAGAAAAGAAAAAGTTTAATTCTAGCATAAAATTCAGTCTTGTCCATTTTTATGACTTAATGATTAATTAAAAGTTGTAATAATGTTAAGTCATTGATTTGTGTGATGAAGACTAGATTATATAAAGTTTAGATGAAATTAAATAGAGAGGATAGATGGAAACACAAAAAGGATTGTTTTATGGTCTTAAATTAGCTACTTCAACTACAAAATGGAGAAAAGATATTAATAACAAAACTTTTAGATATATTATTCATATCGCGAATAAATAATTACAATTAGATAATCAATCTGAAGAATTGGATAGAATAATATAAGAGATGAATAATAAAAATATTAGATATAAATATTTAAGAATTGATAAGAAAATTAATTTAGATTATGATGGTAAATAATATTTTCAAAATAAATTGAACAGTTATGAAGAAAGCTTTTTGAAAGAATTTGGAAGTCTTAAAAATGTTGTTAGCAATATAATATTAAGAGAGCTTTTACATGAGAATAATAAATGATTTTTTTGTTAATCAAATTTATTAATATTAATTTAGATTTCTTATTGATAATGAATTCAATTAATCTATGGAAACATTTACGAAAATTATAAACTATAAATCTATAATAAGAATAATATTATCTGAAAAAATTACTACTTTTACTTTTGCAATTTTCAAAGATATATATATATCTATAAACAGTTTATTATTGCTCTATCTTTATTTTTATGTTAACAACAATCAAGTAAAATTCATTCTTACATTTTCTGCCTTTATTAATAATTTTGTAAATGAATATGTAAGAATTTAAAGAATATTTATTTTAGTTAAACAGTTAAAAGATAATTTAATTTTATATATTAAATGATCAATTCTGAATTTAAAAGTAAATTGCTATTATATAATCATTCTTTATTCTAATGTTATTCATCCTCATCCAGCAATCTTGTCAACTCTAACTTGAGTATTTTGTGTGCTATTAAAATAGGTCTAACATTTTAATAATCTGTTTTCTAATGGAGAATTCTTTTTTCAAGCGTATATAATATATTAACCCATTCTTAATATATTTCTTATGTTACAAATGGTTATAATTGACTAAGTAAACCTTAAACCTCTAATTTGTATTAATTCCAGGTTTTCACAACATTATCAAATATTTATTCTATATTTGCTTCCTTTCCAATGAAATCATTGAGAGAATTTTCAGTGAATATTTATTAATTAACACAAACAGATGTAAAACGATTAAATGACAAATTTTTTTCCCCTTAATGAATTATATCAGCTTATTCATCAAATAAATCTAAAGCTTCTTAAAAATTAAATTTCTCATATTCAATATGTCTAAACAAAGTTAAAAATTCATTATGATTAATCTTTTTATTCCCATCCAAATCAGCAGCTTAAAATGCATGTATCACAAATAACTTTGTTCTATGTGTAACATTTCTGTATTTATCGAGAACTTTAGACATAAATAAATCTAAATCAACTACTCCTGATTTATTTTTTGGATCACTTTCTTTTAAATTATCCAAATCTTATCTCAGTTCCTTTATTTCATCCTCAGTTAACTTATTTTCCAAATGCATTTTTATATAACTAAATTATTATTATATATATACTCTAATGCTCTCAAATATGGTACATGAAATTTGGACTCACTATCTCCTTATACAATATTTACACCCAAACTTGTTTAACTATGTATATATTCTAATCCTGATAACAGAAAAGCTGATTCTTCTTAAGTGAAATTGAGATGTTCATCATGTAAAAGACATAATAATCTAGCAAATAAATTCACCCGAAATATTTGACTAAAGTGTATTACAGATAATAAAAATTATAAATATTTCTTTTCTGCCACATGTTTAAATCCATATTTATTAAGAAAGAAATTGAAAACAAAGATTTACATATCAGCTTCTCCTCCAAAGGAAGCTTTTTCTAAATATATTTAAGTAATTGTTCTTAAAACATTCTTAACTGGCCAATAAGCAACAACTTTTTTAAATAAATGTGATTGGTCTCTGGCTTTTATTGCTAATAACACTCCAGGATGGGTTAATCTATCAATTGTTGGTATTTGTTTCATTTATCTTGTAGCAAAATTAAGTCTTAAAGCTCTTTATATTTTACCTTTTCTTCTCTTCATTGCCTCTTGTTTTTTCTCTTCTTTTTCTTTCTCTTCATCTAATACATATTCTTCTTCTAAAATTTCCTTGTCATTCTATATTTTCTTTCTTAAAGATTCAAATTCAAATAAAAATTCTTCTGCTATTTAAGTATGTGTTTTAAATTAAGTTTTTAAAATATGAACAGTTAATTTTCTTGCAAATAATAATATTTATGTTAATAGTTCATTTGTTTCATTCATTCTAGCTGTTGCATTTTATGCTTTTTATTTTTGTATTTAATAAAGTAACATCAACATTGTAGTTTATTATTTTGATAAGTTTGGTTATTAAAAAGATTCAATTTTTTCATTTTAATCATTTAATTAAATAATATATTATTGTTATAATAATTATTATTATTGTTATAATGATTATTATTATTATTACTATTATTATTAATATTATTATTATTATTATTATTATTATTATTATGATATACTCATCTTTTTTTTCTTTTATGCTTACTTTTCTTATGTATTTATATTCTTTTTATCTAAATTTTCATTTGCTGGAAAATATCTCTATGTATTTATTGATATCTATTATTATTATTATTATTATTATTATTATTATTATTATTATTATTATAGAACTTGTTGTTTTTAATTTTATTTAACTGAATCAGTTTTGCATACATTAGTTTAATTGACTTATGAATTGGCTTATGGTGATAATTTAATTAATTTTTATGAAGATTACTATGAATTTTATTAAGTATTATTAGAACCTGTTCCTAATTATATCGATTTGACATTCAATAATCTGTCTGAACCATATTTATCTAATTCTCTAATTAACTTTTCAGATGTTTCAGATCTGTCTATCTATAATCTTCTTTCTTACATATATTCATTTTTTCTTCTACTTAATATATCAGGTGACCCTTCATCATTTTCTGGCACCTCGTATATTAAATCTATTTTTGTAATGCCTTTAATATCATAATCCTGTATTGATGGTTCATCAGGATGCATATTCATTTGATCACATAGACCATCCAACCAACTCTACTATTCTAATTGTTATTTTAATTCGAATTCTCTTAATGTATTTTCTATTTCAGAAATAGACAAAAACTTATCATATTAAGGAGCCATTAACTGAAGATCTGTTTATGTTTCAATAACACATAAACATTTTTAGAATGTTTAAACACCAACACTATGACAGACAACAGGCAATACTTCAATCACATCTTTAACAATTACATCCTAATGTTATTCAAATTTATTCTGTTAATTCAATTCCTTAAGTACTTAAGATAATGATAAATCTTGTTCCTCTATTACATCATCTGATTTATTCATAGAAGAGTGTTTGTTTTGATTCTTTTTCGATAATTAATGCTTTAATTAATCTATTTCTCTTTATAAATTGCCAATCATATTTGCTGCACTTTTTTATATGTTTTGTTGTAAATTAATTTTATTCTACAATTTCTTAATAGTTTATTAATAACTAATAAGTTCTGAATTAAAAATATTTTCTTTTTATTTTAACTGATTCAATTCTATCTTTAATTAATTTATGTATTATTATTAACGATTTTCCATTTCTTCTTTTTACTTGGCTTCATTAATATCTTTTTCAAATAATTAAAATTTTAATTTTCTTTTTTCTTCCTCCTTTATCATGAAATGTTTATGGAATACTAATATATAACCTTTAACTAATGAATGAAGCAGTTAACCTCTTTCAGCACATTAATATGATACTTGCCTGACAATCTCCAATAAACATAAATGTAGGGCTTCAGATAAAGAAATTAGTTTATCTTTGAAATCTTTATTTGATTACTGAGTTTATTCCATGAAGTTTACAAACCATTATTTAAGTATGATTGCATCTCTTCTACCAGTAGGTTAAGCTGAAAAAAAACTATTAGACTATTATTTGAGGGAAACCAATGTAGGAGTGCAATTGATTGCTTTAAATAATGATTATTTTAAAGAAGTCAAAATATGACTACGATCCTTTTCTTAGGACAATCCTGAAGTGATTTGTTCAAAATTTAGTTCTGATATCTATTCTAATATAGGTAGAATTTCATTTTCATTGATTTATTCTGATGTTTGATCAGATTTTTCTTCAGTTTTAACTCTCAATTGATTACTAAAATAAGCCTGATTTTATTTTCTCATTCTCTATTATTATACATATTGTTATAAATGAAGTTCAGCAACCAACTATTTTTATTTTATTTGTTCTTAGACTCTGGCACTATTTTGACTGTCTGTCAGATGGGAAATATCTCTAGTCCTTGTTCTCATAGATGTCATAGTTCTATTATTATTTAGAGACTTCAACGAAATTGTATGATCTTTCATAATATAAATAAATATAAATGTTTATTTAGTAAATAAATTAATTATATTTCAATTCTTACTCTAGATGAAAGAAAATCTTAGGATCAATTAAATAATGATTCATAAAGCCAAAAAAATATTTAAATAATCCAACTATTATATAAATATATGCACAAAATAAATAAATAATATCTGTATAGTGCATTGATCAATCCGATAAAGATTTTGTGTTTTAGAGTTTAATCTTTAATATATCAAAAATAAAATGTATAAAATATGAGATATTCCACTTCGACAAATGCTTATATAATTTAAAACATTATATTTAATAGATCTTTTCAGTTTAATTTTTTAATCGTTCAATCGAATTCTTATATTTTTAGTTATTGATATTTAGGAAGTTCTAAGGTATCTCTTTTTATAGATATATCATTTTAGTAAAAAGAACTCTCTTCTACAAATTTTCTCCCTAAAATTGAAAAACTTTATTTATATTACCTTTTCTTCTCAATTAATTATAATCGGATCAATAATAGCTTTAAAGTATCTTCGTAATTGTTAACTACAGTCAATTTTTCTTATGGTAAATCACTCAAAGACATAACTCTTAATTGAAGATTCTCCTTTTAAGATGGCATTATAATAATAGTAAATATCCATTCTCTAAATTACTCTAATAAAAATTATTAAGTTGGTTTAAATATTAAAGGCAAAAAAAATTTTTATATTAATCTCTTTTATAATAAGCAAAAATTTGAATATATTATCATTCTCCTTTACCATATAAAATATCTATCTCTCTATGATTAAGACCCTTGGTTTCTTTTACGAAAAAGTAACTAAATATCAAACATAAGAAAGTCAAAATGGTAAATAAAATAAAAGATCCCGTCATAGACATACCCTCCAACATAAATGGAAATACATAAAGCATGAACAATTGCCACACAAACACTGAAATAATACAAAAGTAAGTTCCTTCTGATGAATTAATTTCTGGTGTCATTGACTATAACATGATATAAATAAATTACCCAACATATGGGAGAGATTGTCAAAGCATAAACAAATGCGAATAAGCATAGAACTACAAATCTAATGATCACTGCAGCCTCATTCTCAGTATAACTTAATCCTATCACTATTATTTAACAACAGATAATGAAAATAAGACCAAAAATTAGTAAAGACCTCTTTCCCCATTTACTATAAAAAAATTTGGATACATAGGCTGGCAACTACTATGAAATTCCTAAAACTAAGGAAAATATTGTATTCAAAGTTAAATCATTATTTCCCATCGATGCAAAAAATTATGAACTATAAGAAAACACAGCAAAAATTCCACACCAAGTATATATAAACATTAAAACACAACCTATAGACACTGTTGTACAATGTTTTTTTGAAAATATTTTGATTAATCCCTCTTTATGTTCTTCATTATATTGAACTCTAAGTTGAGCCTTCAAAAATGCCTATTCTACAGAACTTTTTGTATAAAGTCTTTCCACTACATTTTTAGCTTATAATTGCAATCCTTTTTCAAGTAACGATATTGGACTGTCCATTTGGTAAATGACAGTTACAATTAATTGCCGAAAGAAAAAAACTACAGGAGGTAAAGCAAACATAAGTTACCACCAGTAGGTATTTGGTCCTCTCAAATCTGGATTCAAATATCCCAAAGCCATTATATAAGCCGTCAAAACTCCTATTCCAATCAAAAAGCCTGCCATAACAGAAAATCGTTCATAATATTTTTAAGGACACAACTCCTTTATGTATATTGGCATGACAATACATGAAATCCCATTACAGACTCCATACATAAATCTAAAGGCTAAGATCATCTCTCTTATTGGAACCAAAGATAAAATACTTAACATTCCACAAATATCTGCTATTATGAGTGTCTAATTCCTAGTCAAAACCTACATTAGAAAGTGTGAAGAAACTGCTCCAACTATACATCCAATAGGTAAAATTGCACTGAACAAACCTTGCTCTTCATTTATAGTACCTTTCAATTCTCTATAAAATAATAGAACAATCATTTTACATATGATCAAAAACTGTGTCAAATGAAAGAGTTAAATAAGTTATTGCATATCCAAATGTAAAACTTCCACTCATGATTCCAATCATTATTATTGTTAAATCTACTATTGAATTAACTTACTCATCTTTTTCGTTAAATAATTAAACAGTTCCTCTTTTTTAATGTGAGGAATGTCCAGATTTAGGAACAATCTCTCTAGACATAGAAGATTGATTCATCTCGGTTTGGAGATATTCAATTTCTTGAGATTGCAAAGGTACTACTTATGATGCCATTAAATATACGAAATAAATAAATTTATGCCCTAATTTTTTAATGATCTATTTTCAATAATATACAAAATACTCTCAATCAATATAGGATTTACAATTAAGTCAATTAAATACTTAATTCTTGAATAGTTTTAACAATATTGTTATTTTTCCTAAACGTTAACATTCTTTTTTAACAAAAAATAATATTTAAAAATAGACAATATAATTTGTGATTCTTCATAAAATATTCATTATAAATCAAAACTAGTTTGAATATTTTCGATTTATTAAGAAAGAAACCTATATATTTTGAGTACTTAGATAAAGTTTTCAAATTATTTTTTTGAGTCTTTAGTGAGTAATAAAAAAATTAGAATTTNGACACTGTTGTACAATGTTTTTTTGAAAATATTTTGATTAATCCCTCTTTATGTTCTTCATTATATTGAACTCTAAGTTGAGCCTTCAAAAATGCCTATTCTACAGAACTTTTTGTATAAAGTCTTTCCACTACATTTTTAGCTTATAATTGCAATCCTTTTTCAAGTAACGATATTGGACTGTCCATTTGGTAAATGACAGTTACAATTAATTGCCGAAAGAAAAAAACTACAGGAGGTAAAGCAAACATAAGTTACCACCAGTAGGTATTTGGTCCTCTCAAATCTGGATTCAAATATCCCAAAGCCATTATATAAGCCGTCAAAACTCCTATTCCAATCAAAAAGCCTGCCATAACAGAAAATCGTTCATAATATTTTTAAGGACACAACTCCTTTATGTATATTGGCATGACAATACATGAAATCCCATTACAGACTCCATACATAAATCTAAAGGCTAAGATCATCTCTCTTATTGGAACCAAAGATAAAATACTTAACATTCCACAAATATCTGCTATTATGAGTGTCTAATTCCTAGTCAAAACCTACATTAGAAAGTGTGAAGAAACTGCTCCAACTATACATCCAATAGGTAAAATTGCACTGAACAAACCTTGCTCTTCATTTATAGTACCTTTCAATTCTCTATAAAATAATAGAACAATCATTTTACATATGATCAAAAACTGTGTCAAATGAAAGAGTTAAATAAGTTATTGCATATCCAAATGTAAAACTTCCACTCATGATTCCAATCATTATTATTGTTAAATCTACTATTGAATTAACTTACTCATCTTTTTCGTTAAATAATTAAACAGTTCCTCTTTTTTAATGTGAGGAATGTCCAGATTTAGGAACAATCTCTCTAGACATAGAAGATTGATTCATCTCGGTTTGGAGATATTCAATTTCTTGAGATTGCAAAGGTACTACTTATGATGCCATTAAATATACGAAATAAATAAATTTATGCCCTAATTTTTTAATGATCTATTTTCAATAATATACAAAATACTCTCAATCAATATAGGATTTACAATTAAGTCAATTAAATACTTAATTCTTGAATAGTTTTAACAATATTGTTATTTTTCCTAAACGTTAACATTCTTTTTTAACAAAAAATAATATTTAAAAATAGACAATATAATTTGTGATTCTTCATAAAATATTCATTATAAATCAAAACTAGTTTGAATATTTTCGATTTATTAAGAAAGAAACCTATATATTTTGAGTACTTAGATAAAGTTTTCAAATTATTTTTTTGAGTCTTTAGTGAGTAATAAAAAAATTAGAATTTCTTCAGAAACGTTAGCAGGTTTGGTAACAGGATTTTTAAATATTATCTATTAATGTTATATTATTTATTAATGGTAGAAACTCAAAATAAATTTTTAATTAAACATTACAATATAATTACAATGTTGTTTGGTTAATTTTTAATGTGTCATTATGAAGACTCTTCATCAAAACATTCTCAAATAAAACCTAATAGAATTCAATAAAATATCATTGATGGTTTTTTATAAATCGATATAAATTTTGAATAATCTTTTACAAAATTTGTAACATAAAGGCTAATATAATTATCATGAAGGAATAAAATATTAAATAAATGAATTTTAATTACATTAATGAAACTGGTCAATAGATGTCCAGATTAAAGAGAAATTAAGTTTCAAATTTTGAAAACCCAGAGATGTCAACTCTAAAAAATATAAGATTGCAGACTTATCCAGATGAAAATCAAGAATCAGAACACTTACATAATTCCAACAATCCTTCCGAGTAGTCTCATGAATCTATTGATCAACGAGAAGAAGACTCTCATACATTTTTTCCAAGTTTTATTGGATAAAATCATTCTAGGATTTCAAAATTATTTTTTTTGTAGTACACATCTTATGCTTTACGACTAAAAAATCAAGTACTGGATAAAAACCATAAAATTACAGATAAGCATCTTCCTATTTTATCGCCAGATGACGATTTAAAACAATTAATATAAAAATCTTAAAATCAAATTTTAGAGGTCCAAGAAATAACATTTATTACATTAATGAAACTTATATTTTTTGGAGAATTGAAATGGATAACTGGAAAATGCATATTTGCCTATATTATAGAATCAATTTCTAAAAATGGGATTTCTTTTATAATGAATTTAGTCATTGCCAGTGTATAGTAAAATGATTTAAAAAATTCTCATTTTTATGGAATAATTCTAATAACATTAAATTTCATTTGTCTTTTGAGTAGACATCACGCAGCTAATTATTCAATGATATTTTCCACAAAAGCTCGTCTTAATTTGATAAATTTAGTATACATCAAATTAATTGGGTTGAATTCTTATTCTTTTAAGTAAGCTAATATAGGGAAAATCTTGAATCTAATATCTGGGGACATTAACACTTTGGAGCAAATGTTTAGTATGATATTTCCAAGTAGTGTTGTTATTTTTTCATTGTTTTTTGCTTGTCTTATTTTATGGGTAAGATTTGATGGTATAATTGGTTTATTAGCTGTCTTATTATTATTTATTACTTACCCTATATAGGTCTTAATATCCTAATTTAATTAAGAAACCTTAAAGTTAGCTAAAATTAGTTAAGATAAAAGATTGAGGATTACAAATGAATTGGTAGAAGGAATCAGATCAATTAAAATGTAAGCTTGGGATAAAGCATTCTAAAAAATAATAATGACTATCAGATAAAATGAATTTCTATATTTATTAAAAATACTTTTAAGAACAGTAGTTGATAGATTGCTGACCTAAACTTCACATCTTTGGTCAAGTTTGTTGTATTTTATAATCTTATATTATGGAGAGTTTAAAGATGAAATGTAAGTAGCTGAAATGATTTCTACCATTTAGCTTTTAAATTCATTGAAAATATCATGCGTTTATGTAGTTTCAAATGGAATTCAAGCATACATTTAAATTAAAGTCACTTTTGAAAGAATTGCAAATTTACTTAATCTATAAAACTTTGTAATGCTTAAAATAGAAGATAATAAAAAAGAAAATAATAAAAAAATAGAAAAAGAAACTGAAAAAAGTACTATAGAATTAAATAATTTCTGTGCATATTGGTAGCATTTAGTATCTGAAAATGATAAACCAATTTTAAAGAATCTGACCATAAATTTTAAAGAAGGAGAATTATGGGCTATTATTGGAAGAGTCGGAAGTGGAAAATCAACACTCTTACATTCATTATTAGGGGAAATTCCATCTTATAATGGAATCATGTTGATTAATGGTCAAGATCCAATAATGAACAAATTAAAAATTGCATATGTTGAATAAGAACCTTATTTATTTCCTGACACTATAAGAAAAAACATTCTGTTTGGAAAAGTCTATAATCATGCTTTATATAAAAAAGTAATTCAAGTTGCATAATTGGAATCAGATTTTGAATTAATGAAATTTAAAGATTACACTGAAATTGGTGAAAGGGGTGTTACACTTTCAGGAGGATAAAAAGCCAGAATATCGTTAGCAAGAGCTTTATATTAAACAGCTGACTTATATTTATTTGATGATCCCTTATCAGCTGTTGATGCAAGTGTTGCTGAGAAAATATTTACGGTTGCTATTTAGGAATTTATTTTTAATTATCAAATTGCTCTTTATCCAAAAAAATAAAAACCTATAGTAATCCTAGCGACTCACTAAATTTAATATGCAATTAAATGTGAGAAAATTGCAGTGGTAAGCAATGGAGAATTAATTTCCTAAGGATCATATGATTAGATTAAACCTACCCTAAATATGATTAATAATGAATTAGCTGATTAATTGGATAAAAATAAAATAGAGAATAAAACTAAAGATTATTAATAATAAAAACCATTAATAAAAAAAAGAAAAAGAGTTTAATTATCAGAAATTAAAAATCTAATTATTTAAGAATCTGATATTATCAAATAAATTATTAAATTAAATATTTTAATATCATCATTTAATTACTTCATTCACCATTTTTTAACCAATATAGCCATGAAAAAACACGAATTTTATTAACTAATTGTTTGCCTAAGAAAACCATGAGCAAAACTAAGTATCTTCCAGTTCTATTCTCTCACCTATTTACTTTTCCAGTTTCACCTAATAATCATAAAGAGAAGCATCATGAACTAAAATAGGTTCAATTTTCCATCTCTAACCATTTTCAAATATTTTTCATTTAACCCAAAAATATTTATATTTATCAAATACCCCTTATCAGGAGAAGTAAAGTATTCTTTTCTTTTTTAACATCATCACTTTCATATTATTAATTAAGGAATTTTTTTTATGATTCTCTTCCTTTCATTTCTTCTTAATACCTCTGTAAAAAGTTTGAAAAAGGTGTATTAACATCAACTTTTTTCATTTAGAATCAATTACTTTCGCCAATAATGAATTAGATAATCCTAATAGCATTTTAAATGAAGGTCTTCTTAATCTCTCATATTTCTATTATTATTATGGATACAAAATTGCCGATAAATCTTAGAAATTATGCCTAAAGTATATGATTTACAATAGTTTGTATTAATTATTATTTAATTCCACCTCTAACATCCAAAAATTTTATCAAGTTTTTTCCACAAGAATTTACCCATATGGACTTCTTTATTAACTAGCCTTCATGGGTATTCTCGTTTTACCAAGATTGACACTAAAATTATATGTCTATGCCTACTAATTAAAGAAATTAGTTATCTAATCTAGTATTTGGGTATTGAATACAACTGTTAAGTCATCAGCATATTCAATCAATGATAATAAAGCATGCTCTAATTAAAATCTTTTATTTTTTTACTCTTATTCCTTTTTGAAATGTAAAAAATCTTAAATAAGCTCATTAAAATAAATGTCAAATAAGAAGGGAGCAAGTAAGGAGTCTTAATACACACCATTTAAAAGATATATCTTTCTTTTCTAATTTGATCATAAATATCAAATTATTTATGGATCAATTCCAAATTCTCTTAGTTCCTTTCAAAAACATAGTGCCTATACTTTATTCTAATGATTTAAAAGAATCTATCTCCATCAACGCAATTATATGCTACTTCTTATGTAATATTTTTCTTTCAATTTCTCAATTACTTATCCTACATGATACTAACAACCATCTTATTTACAAAACCAATTTTTTCTGGATTTTTTTTGTTGAGATTTGCCTAAATTTTGGTATAAAAAAGACTTCAATTAACTTAATAAAATGACTTTAAGCCTTATTGGTCTAAATTATTCAATTGTAGAAATTAAAGGATGAGCTTTATTCAAAGGTACCAATCTTATTGAAAATAAGTATTTAAGCTACCAAATTAATTTAAAGAATTTCCCATCCTTTTTTTTATGAAATTTATAATCCAAACTAGCTCCATTAATCAAAAGATATTGCTTTTCTTTTACTACCTCACCATTTTTCTTCCTCTACCTCAAATTTAAAAGTACAATGTATAGGAAAAAAATTGAGATCATCATGTTTTGGATCTTAATTTAAGATCTTTAATAAGTGATCTATACTATGATGTGGAACTTCTTTGTAATCTTATATTAATCTATGTCCCTCTTAAAAAAAATTCATATTTGATCCTTCTTTCTTAAAAGGTTTAAGATTTTTAGGATGGTAAATTAAGTTATGAGTTTTCAAGTCTCTTGGTCAATTACATATTAAGAGGTATTCATAAATATCTTCTACCTGGTATCATAAATAGATTTTCTTAATTCTATTGTAGGTTTATTGATGACGGTCTATAGTCTGGAATCGCTGTAAAGTGGAGTGTTGGACCTACTTCATAATTAACATTTTTTTACATTAATATTATCTTTACTTTATCTGGTTGTTATTTCTCTGATGATGTCAAAATTTGGATATGACGTTATTTTTCTAATTGTCGAATAAATTGTAAAGGGAGGTTTTTGGGAGTTTTTCTGTCAAGTACCTAAATTCTAGCTAGTAGATGATGTCAGAAGAATATTTACCAAAAAGATTGAATAATTATAAAATTTATCATGAAAATTAGTAAATTCTTAGTTTCCAATTTCTAGACTCTTTCACTTATTTAGATCTTTTTCACAAGTATAGTTATAGGGATTCCTACTCTTATTTTTGTCTAATATTAAAATGCATTTTATGTAATCCATTCATTTTTCCCTAATTCCCATTATGATTCTTGGAGTAGAGTTACATAGAACTCTATAATGAAACTATTTCTCCCATTTCATAGAGTATGTTCCAACTAACTAATTTAATAGTGAAAGAATGATATTAAAAATTTATTAAAGGACCTATTTGACATCTATTTATTTTCCATACCCTACATGTATATTCTATATACTAGGACCTTTCTTTGACGAATCATTATTTGGCCACAGCGATGCTTGGTATTGAAAATTTAATTTTAAAGCGGACATGGCCACAATGTATTTTTTTCATTTTTTTTTTTTTATCAAATAAATATTTAGGCACATGTTAGTGTTAAATTAACAATATTAAATTAATTAAGCCTTATTGTTGATTAAATTATATTTTTTATTTTTATGAGGTCGAGGGTGCTTCAGAACTTAATCCGATTAGGGATATTCCGTTCAAACCAAAGAGTGGAGAAGAATTAGTCAGAAGGCAAGAAACTACCCCGTATTAAAATGCTGGACCAATTATCTCACGCGCTTCTTCCATTGTATTTCTCTCCTTATGAACACTGACTTCTTTGGAAAGAAGAAGGCCTGTCTGCTTGAATCTGATTTTTATATATATTTTTCTGTGGTATATGAATAAATGATTATTAAATTGATTTATTTATCCTAAATTGAAATATACTAAATATTGTTTATTAAAAATTTCTTAATTAATTATTATCATTTTTCTTATCAATTCATCTGAGAAAACCTATATTCGCACTTTTGATAATTAAAGTAAGAACAAATATTTTGAACTTAGAATTATTCTTATTTAATAAATTTCCAAATTTTTTATTTATTTATTCAATAACTAACAAATCATTGATTTTTCTGTTTATTTGAGATATTTTAAATATTGGAACTGCCTAGCTTTCTTTTTGGTTATATTGATGGAGGTTACGCATGAAATTTTAGTAATGCTATATTAGAGAGTTATTTCTTTATTCTAATACTATTAAGTTCTTGGCTAAACGAATTCAACATTTATACTTTTATCAAGTTTAATTATTGGATTATTGGTTTGTTGTTTTGTTAAGTACCTTCTCAATGTAATTTAAGTATAAAGAACAACCTAAAACATTCATTAACAAATGCTTAATTCTATTCTATTGGCACCAATATAATATTTTGATATAAATCCTTCAGGAAGAATTATAAATAGATTTTCTAATGATTTATCATTATGTGATAATTCAACAAACTAAGTTTGCTTAGATATTTTAGAGTTGATTGGTAATTTCTTCATTGCCTTGATAACACTTGCTGTCTTGTAGCCTTATTTTATCTTTATGATTTGCTTCATTATAATTTTAAATCTCTATTAATATCATTTTTACAATAAAATTGTGAGCTAATTAAAGGAAAATGAATTAATTTAAAGAAGTCCATTATTTGATTTCATTAAAAAAACAATAGGAGGATCAATCTAAATTAGAGTTTATAAATAGTAAGACCTGTTCAAGAAATAATTTTTAGATTTATCCAATAAATGTAATTTAAATTCATTGACATATTGTTATTCAATTAGATCTTTTTGCTTTAATATTGATTTTATTGGATTTATAGCTTCATCAGTTGGTCTATTCATTTTCCTTAATCTTAATTCGAATGATGTTGCTATATTCTCTTAAGGACTGTTGTTATTAATCACATATAATGATGGATTATCATTAGGATTAAAATAGTTGATTAATTTTGCAACATAAATGAGTTCATATAATAGAATGTTTTAAATAATTGATGTAGAATCTGAGGCACCTCAAGTCAAAGATATAGATTCTAAGTTACCCAATTTTCCAGAATCAGGTCATATTAAATTTAATAATGTTTGTATGAGATACAGAGAGAATTCAAATTTTATTCTAAAAGGATTATCATTTGAAGTATAAAGTGGAGAAAAAATTGGTTGTGTTGGTAGAACTGGAGCTGGAAAATCATCAATTTTGTAAGCCATTTTTAGGATGTGTGAAATTGAGGACTGTGAAGATTCAAAAATTGAAATCGCTGGAGTTAATACTAAATAATTAGGATTATAAAAATTAAGAAGTAGTATAGGAATTATACCATAATTTCCATTTTTATTTACTGGAAGTCTTCGATCAAATTTAGATCCATTTGGTTAATATGATGACTAAGCCATTTGGGAAGCTTTGGAGGTTACTGGATTAATTGAATATGCAAGATCATTCTCTAAAGGTTTACTAACTGATATTTGTGATGTTAATTCACTCTTCTTTTTGGGATAAAAATAACTAATTTGTTTGGCTAGAATTCTATTATAAAAGAAGAAGATCATTGTTTTAGATGAAGCAACTGCTAATCTTGATATGAAGACTGATGATTTTATCTAAAATACTCTTAAGTAACAGCTTAAGGATTGTACTCTTTTTACCATAGCTCACAGATTGAATACAATTGCTGATTATGATAAAGTTATGGTCATTGAAAATGGAAACGCAATTGAATTTGATACGCCTTTCAATCTTATGGCATAATCACTTAATTCGACAACTATAGATAGAAAAACTCAGTTTTCTTATCTTGTTTTTAATACTGGAGAATCTAACTCTAGAGTTATTTTTGATATTGCCAAAAATAAATTGATTAACTCTAACAAATGATTTCAATATTTAATTGTTGTTGCTTTATTTTCATAAAAATAAATTAGTTATTCTCATCCTTCTTCAATTGATTATTTTTTATTGAAATAATTTTTGAATAAGTTTCCAAATTTCTTAATTTCCAATTTTAGTTTGAACTTATTTAATTAAAATAAAAAACCAATAATAGAGTATATTATTTGATTATTAGAGTTATTTAATAATAGGAGAATTAATTAAAAATAAAAATGATGTTGTTTTAGGTTGTTATAATATATTTTAGTTACGATGATTTATTAATAAATTAAATAATTTCTTATTATTAATATTATCATTAATCCATTTAAAAATAAATAATTAAATCTATTATAAAACTTCTCAATCCATTTCATTTAAAACTAATCATATAACTTTTTTAATTTAACATAATTTACTTATTGAAACAAATTATTTGATCATTACTAATATAACTAAAATAATTATATAATTTATTTCTTCTAAATAACACAATCTTTTTTTCATTATTAAAGACAAAATTATAAAAGGATCTCTTATTTATAATTAATATTTAACTATAAATTTTAATTATTTGATATCTATTCACATATATCTTTTTATCTTTGACATGTTCATTCGCAAGTATTATGGTTGAATTAAGAATTCATCAACTAATTGTAGGGTCTTATTTNGTGGAGAAAAAATTGGTTGTGTTGGTAGAACTGGAGCTGGAAAATCATCAATTTTGTAAGCCATTTTTAGGATGTGTGAAATTGAGGACTGTGAAGATTCAAAAATTGAAATCGCTGGAGTTAATACTAAATAATTAGGATTATAAAAATTAAGAAGTAGTATAGGAATTATACCATAATTTCCATTTTTATTTACTGGAAGTCTTCGATCAAATTTAGATCCATTTGGTTAATATGATGACTAAGCCATTTGGGAAGCTTTGGAGGTTACTGGATTAATTGAATATGCAAGATCATTCTCTAAAGGTTTACTAACTGATATTTGTGATGTTAATTCACTCTTCTTTTTGGGATAAAAATAACTAATTTGTTTGGCTAGAATTCTATTATAAAAGAAGAAGATCATTGTTTTAGATGAAGCAACTGCTAATCTTGATATGAAGACTGATGATTTTATCTAAAATACTCTTAAGTAACAGCTTAAGGATTGTACTCTTTTTACCATAGCTCACAGATTGAATACAATTGCTGATTATGATAAAGTTATGGTCATTGAAAATGGAAACGCAATTGAATTTGATACGCCTTTCAATCTTATGGCATAATCACTTAATTCGACAACTATAGATAGAAAAACTCAGTTTTCTTATCTTGTTTTTAATACTGGAGAATCTAACTCTAGAGTTATTTTTGATATTGCCAAAAATAAATTGATTAACTCTAACAAATGATTTCAATATTTAATTGTTGTTGCTTTATTTTCATAAAAATAAATTAGTTATTCTCATCCTTCTTCAATTGATTATTTTTTATTGAAATAATTTTTGAATAAGTTTCCAAATTTCTTAATTTCCAATTTTAGTTTGAACTTATTTAATTAAAATAAAAAACCAATAATAGAGTATATTATTTGATTATTAGAGTTATTTAATAATAGGAGAATTAATTAAAAATAAAAATGATGTTGTTTTAGGTTGTTATAATATATTTTAGTTACGATGATTTATTAATAAATTAAATAATTTCTTATTATTAATATTATCATTAATCCATTTAAAAATAAATAATTAAATCTATTATAAAACTTCTCAATCCATTTCATTTAAAACTAATCATATAACTTTTTTAATTTAACATAATTTACTTATTGAAACAAATTATTTGATCATTACTAATATAACTAAAATAATTATATAATTTATTTCTTCTAAATAACACAATCTTTTTTTCATTATTAAAGACAAAATTATAAAAGGATCTCTTATTTATAATTAATATTTAACTATAAATTTTAATTATTTGATATCTATTCACATATATCTTTTTATCTTTGACATGTTCATTCGCAAGTATTATGGTTGAATTAAGAATTCATCAACTAATTGTAGGGTCTTATTTGTACATAATTATGGATAATAAAAGTTCTATATTAGGAAGGCTGACAGAGAGAGTTGTCTAATTTATTGAGCAATTATATTTTAATATGTTATATCAAGCATAACGTATTTGGAAGGAATTATTCATCTTCAATATTTATAAACCACTGTGGTTATACCTTTTAAATAATTTGGATCCAATAGGATTATTAATAAAAATAAGTATTATCTTTTACAATAAGGATTATGAAGCCTCTTAATAAGGTTTTATTTGTTAATTATGAACTCCTATTTAAAATTTTTCCTTATCTTTCATTTTTTATGTTACAAATATTCTTAGATTGAAATTTTTTTTTTCTAGAATCCAAATTTCGCCCACTTCTTTTTTGGCTACGATTATTTTATAAGTGTAAGACGAATTTTTTGGTTCTTTTGAGATAAATGAAATTCAAATAGATAATTTTGAAATCAAACACTTCAAATATAATCTGAACAATTGTCTCTGGAATCCTCTTTTTCTTCTATTCTAAAACTCTCCGAGCTAGATTCAGAGGAAATCCGATATTTTAGAAAGTGAAAAAGAATAATACTAATAATCTCTAAATTATCAAGGGATTACTAGAAAACTCTTTTGTTTAATTTAAAGTATATAAATATAACTATTCTTAATATTACAACATAGCAAAGTCTTTTAATATTCAGCTTAAAGAGGATGATAATATTATAATTCAACCTATTCTCCAAAAATTCATAAACTTTTGATAGAAGCTTGAGATTTATATA